TTGTCAACTATAGACAATGGGTTGGGTTGACAAAACGTTAAATAATCGACTATTTGACATGAATATTTAACCATCATTGGGTTTTTTCTTTCCAAGCAATTATTCATAATGAATTCAAAAATTTTATCAAAGTTATTTAGATTACTTCCCAATGCTACCCATAAGGCTTCGACCTCATTCAGGACTGTTGAACTAAATTTTACAGTAATTTCAATTAAATTATTAAGAACCATAATAGATGGGATATCTAGCTTGTTAGTTGAACTTTTTGATTTAGAATTTTGATCAGCTATATCCTGAGTATCTTCTGTATATTTCAATTCTATAGTCAGAACCCATGGACGCAAGCAGGTTAATGTGTTTCTCTTAGACCATTCATCAACATGATCGAAAAACATTGTTAAATGACTTATTCTAACATAAGCACTTTCAGGATGTAAAGATGCAAGATGAGTTGAAATGTCAAATAAAGCCTTTTGAAACACAAGCTTCGATCTGCTGCAAACACATTCCGAAAATGAATTAACAGCAGAAGAATTGTAAAACTTTTCTTCCAAGAATACAAGTAATTTAATTGCCGAAATTCTCACCTCATATTCTTCGTGTCCGATCATTACCGTTGATAAACATATTATATCGAACGGTATTCCTTCAAATTGTTTAAGCTTCATAACTATATCAACAAAAATTGTGAAAAAGCTCTTTGTCACCTTAGAGGAAGATTGTTTTGAATAACACTGCTTTAAAACTACTTGATATATTTCATCATTGTTCAAGTTCAAATGTAGAATATTTCTAAGCGCCAAATTTCCCATTTCATTTACTCTCTCATCGTCAGAGCACATCAATACATGAACCCAATCCATTAATTCCGGGATGTCAAATGACATAACAGCAATCTTGCCGACCACTTCTATTTTCTGCTTTATGGGACCGGAGCACAAAATTGCCATGGTACTTAGTGATGCAAATTGCAATGCTTTCTTTTCAACCTCTAGAATAGCCACAGTAGAAGTTGTTTCCTTTAATTGTTTCACCCTTTTAATCATCGTGCTATATCTATCTTCAGTGACATCTGCCGAATCTCCAACGCCGCACCACTCCTTCAAAAAATTAAAGCAGCCTATTCTGGCTTCAAATGGCAACCATTTATTCAAATCTGAGTTATTTTGTAGTCCAATGAAGACATTTTCTAAAAATCCACAAAAATAACGACGTAACCTTTGAAATTCGACGTCTGTTTGCACCAAGGGAACGGACAAAAATGATTTAACATTCTTTATAATAGAAACTAGATTAGCAATCATCCACTCATCTGAATATATAAATGCATCCGACTTGAACCGATTAGTAATATTACATAGAATGTGTATAACCTCAATCCGTAAGCGATCTTCTGCTGCATCTCTCGCTTTGCTATTTACTTCCCATTCATTCACACTTTCTGGAAGATTTTCCAATAGCGTCTTGAAAATATTTATATTAATACAAGTCAAACCCGAAATTACAGCATCTCTTACCATTGGCTGTTGCGATCTTAAAAATGGTAGCACCATTCTGAACACTGATTTAGCACTAGTAATCTTTTGGTGTTGAATAAACATTTGCATTGATTTCTTTCTTCCGTGTGTTGGCTGAGAGGGGAACGATATTTTCTGTTCATTTGTAGAGGTCAAAGAACAACAAGCAAATATTAAGTAAAGCCTCCATTGGTTTACCAATACTTCAGGAGGGATGTTAGTACTTGTTTTCCCAAATAATGAGCTTGTGTAATTTTTGTAACTTTCTGAAAACTCGAATACAAATTCATACATCTGAACCATTCGAACACAGACTATTGAGCGACACATGGCAACAGGCATAGGACATCTTTCAAAAAAGATATCCAACAATTTAGGATAAAGTCTGAACCATAAAGTGGAGTCTATCCCATAATCTGATTCCGCCAATTTAACTAATATGTTCTTTTTATTTTTTAACTTTGATAAGCGACTTCGTTCTGGCACGCTAAGTTCATTCTTGAACGGCTTAATGAGTCCCAAGAAATCAGTGTCCTCTAAAACATGAATCAAACGTGTACCGATATCTGCTGCAAACTTAGATGAACTTCTAGAATGCCCTTTGCTCGTTCCAGAATTAGAGGTAGTTGGAACACCAGGAAGTTTGCCTTGATTTTGAACAGTATCAGACATATTATAAATAGCCTGATCAAATTGTTCTACCAATTTCAATATAGAAATTCCATAGTGCCTTGTTTGCGGGTCTTGCGAAGAAAGAAAAAAAAGTCCGTTACCTTCAATTTCTTCTATAACTGTAATTATTGTCTTCCATTCTAGTTCATCGCTTCGCTTAGCTTTTACGTTGGAATTTGATAAATCCTCGGATTTATAGTTAATCTGGTATAAATCATTCAAGACGTCTCTGTTCATCATTTCGTCATCTTGAGCTAAAGGGTTGGATGTTTGTTTATTTCCTTCATCCTCTTCGATTTTATTGAATTGTTTTAGCCAACAACTAAGTAATTCAACGTACACTTTTAATAGTCTATGTGACTCTGTAGAATTCAAATAATCAGAATTATAATTTGGACCTGGTTTATCACTAAACTGAAAAGCAAATTTAGCAAAATGGTAATTAAACTATTCGGGTTTTTTCTTGATGCTAACTTCTTCAAAGAGCCTAATGCAGCTTTTGATACAATAGGATTTACGTGCACAGCATTACGAGTCAATATATCTACCACATTTTTAATGGTAAGCCGACTGTCGAAGATTTTTCTCCATTAAATGGGACTAGCGTCCATGGTATAGCCTCAATTAGTGCTGCAAATAATTGCATATGTATGTCCTTGGTAGGTTGGTAAGAAAAGTCAATCCCAAAATGGAATGCAGAAAATGCAGCCTGTGATTTTGAAGTTGATAATGGTGTCGACAGCGAACTACTATCCGACGACCAAATATCACAACCATATTGAGAGTCCAATTGTTTTAAGAGTACCGCAAAGTTTCGGCATATTTCTTCGTGCGAAAAGGCATTAGTTGAATTTTTTGCAATAAGCATGATTTCATTAGATTTGAATCTTTTATTACGCATGTCTTTGACAGACTTTTGACTAGACGAAGAACTATAGCTTTGATTAACCGATAACGAGTTAAAAACATCATCTGTAGGAAAGCACGGCTTATCTCCAAGTTCATAATCCTCCAAAATCGTTAAATAACTTTTTACCACCAATATAATCTTCTCCGGAGATGAATTTTCTAAGGAAACTCCATTAAAGCTAAGTCTTAACAATTTTGTTAATACATTATCCAACACATAATTCAAGTGCTGAAAACCAACAATCCTAATAAATTCGACTAAAGCATTTATTAAGTTAGGTTCAGCTATTAACCACTGCTGTTTTTTGCTGGTAGCATTGCTGCTAAAAAATAGCAAATTGAATAGGTTATCAAGCTTCTTAATAGTATTATTCAATGTATCATTTAAACGATAAATGTATACCCAGACTAACCTAGCAACACAAACAATAAAGGTCGATTTGTCATCTGTTTCAACTTTTGGCTTTAATTTGAACATGTTATTTTCAATGATGTCAAACCAAGTATCAGAAAATAGTTCCTTCCGAGATACTGATAAGGCTGAGGTCATCAAATGTATAGAATAAGCCCAACTACTATCGAAATTAATAACATTATGCGAGCCGTTAGCTTTAAGTTTGTTAACCTTTATAGTAGAATTGATTGGCTTGTTCAAATTCTTCCATGTGAAACTAGCTTTGTTATATATTTTTTCGATTGCTTCCACCCAAGTTGGATGATTGGTTTCAGCTGTTAATATACTCGCTAAAGGTAAAAGCAAATTACTTAAAACTTCGCAGTATGCAAAAATAATGGATTCATTATTCGATTTCTCAAAAAACTTAGCCAATGACTGTATAAATTCGGCACTCTCTTCAAATGTTTCTAAAGGATAATTAGTTAACTTCAAATAACTCATTCCCTGAATCAATAAATATAACTTGGGTTCATCTTCATGCTTAATTTTTGGTGGTATTCTCTCTAAATTTGCGATAAATCTGTCACTCACACTTAGAAATCTTTTTTCTGACATAAAACCTAGTAATTCAGCGAATAAATTCCAATTTGAAGACCTAACTAAAGACTCGCTTTTACTGGTTGGGTCAGTTGTTTTCAATTGCGTAAAGACAATCTCTTCTAATTTATCGCCAAGATCATTGCCCATAACTTCAGGAGATGCCTGTTTAACAACTTCAATCAACACCCGGCATAAAATATAAATCAGCGCTAATGATTTACGGTCAGCCTGAATAGCAGTTTCTCTTGCTTGTGTTATTTGATCATCGTATAAATTTCTTTGTCTGATAGACACAGAATCCAGCAGCTTCATCTGCGTAAGATTAGGAGATTGCAAAGTTGTTTGGTTAGACATTGTAGATGAAGCGGATTGATTACGAGAATGCCCGGTCATTTTAGATATACTTTTAGTCCTCATTAAGCTCAAACTTCTTTTAGCCTTATTTCCAGTGTTTGAACTCTTACTGATAACGGGGTTGGATGCAGAAATATTATCATTATGTGAGGTTTTCGATAAATTTGATTTTGCATTAGATAAAATTTTTTCTACCTCCGAAGCTGCCATATAAGCAACTTCACTTTTTGATTTCCTCCAAAACATTACACTATCTATTACAGGTTTGGGTTTCCTCCTTGCAATATAACCTAAGGAAGCCACAACCTTATCAAACTGAGGATCAACTCCTTCTGCCATTATTTCAACTACTGGTGGCTCCTCCATCAAAGGATAATCGAGGCATAAATTCAATTTTCGCTCAGCATGACGAACGAATTGTGTGAAAACTATATGCAATGTATATTCTGCTGGCGTTTTCAGGTAGGTTGCTAATTCTTTCCGCATATAACTGAATTCTTCACCATTTGACATTGTTAGTCTTTTATTGGTAATGGTCGACATTGGTGGTGGAAGTTGTGGTGACTCTTTCGTATAGTCGTGAATTGGGAATTGTGACATGGGAGATGCTAATTGTTGGGAAAGCGATAAGTTAGAATTGCTTGCATCTTCCTTTTTAATATATTTTAACTCACCTAATTCATCATTTTGTTGGTCATTTTCTTTACTCTGCAGCGTGTATTTATCATGAATTATCGGAGGATCTTGTAATTTGAAAGTTTCTTGGCCAGGACCATGTTGTTCAACAACATGAACTCTTGGTGCATCACCGGTAGGTGCATTTGCCATGTTAATTTGGTTCATGAACAAAGGTTGTGCAGTATTGTATTCTATGATTTGCGCAGTGGCATCGTTCGATTCCTCGGACAATGCTAATGATGCTAACGAATCCAAGCCTGCTCCATATGAAAGATTATCGATACTTGAAGCAATTACATTCGGCCCTTGTGGAGCAGGCAAATTTATATCATTCGTCTTATATGTCTCGTTTGGGTATTGAAATTGTCTAAATTGTTGGCTGTGTACGTCTTGGATTTGTGGGTCTTCTGAATATTGATTTTCTTGATACGCTATTTCACCCGTCAGCGATTCATGCAAATCAGGATTCTTATCCCCTGATGTCACGCTATCTTCTGATTTTCCTGCTGTATTCATACGATAATCACCAGTAATATCACTAATGTGACGGATGTGTTGTGATTGTTGTGGTTGTGATCTTTGCAGCTGGGACTGATCTAGCGCGTATTGATAAGGAGACAGCTCATCTAAATCGGGAATTTCTATCATACTTTATCTATCCTTAGTTTGAAATAAGACTTGGTCCTCTCCTTTTGGTTTTTTATGATTATATCAAAGATTTCGAAATATGGATCACTCCAATCAATTCAATTCAGCGAGTAATTTTTCTCGCACAATTCCTTCCTCGATTTGGATCAATGTTGAATAGAACTCAATGTGATAGCAAGTAGTACCTTATGAATGATAGCAAGTAACAAAGGACGATATTCTTGTATTATGTCCTTAGGAGGGCCTTAAAAAAATTTAAATAGTTATCTCTATGTAGTTAACGAACTGTAAAATATCAACAAGGCACCTATTTTACAGTTTAGAATTATCTCGTTAATTTGTAAGATCGAAGACTAGAAAGAGAAGCTTTTCATTAAATTTATTCACTTTACTGATAGATAAAAAGTAATATGAAGGGTCTGGAGAGTATACACGATATTCCAACGCTTATAAATCAGTTTATTGCAAGTGCAGATGATAGTGATGTTAGCATAAATTATAGTAAAGAGTTAGCGGAACTTATCGAAAGCGATGAAATGACCTTGTTGAAATTTATACAGTCATTAGGACCAAGTCTCACTTCAGACAGTGATTTGATTAGATTAAAGTCAATTCAATGCATGGCAGAAACCTTGAAATGCTTGAAGGTTAATAAGTTATCTAAACAAGATGTCAATGTTCTAGTCGAGTTTTTACTAGCTAAATTTGAAGATATATACTGTTTGGTTCATATTATATCAAGTTTGAACTCTTTAATTCTGTTCAAGAACTTTATTTTTGGTATGAACAATAATGTGGAAAAGTTATTAACGAATATTTTAAACAATTATAACCCCAAGAAACACTTGGCCAAAGTTAGATACGAGCCATTCAGAACTTTGAATGCATTAGTCACTATTGATCCTGCTTATTTTCAGTCGTCTTCCCAGTTGTCACAATTAATGGTGAAAACATTTATTCATATTGCAAGTGGCGAAAAGGATCCAAGAAATTTATTGTTGTCATTTGATACTAATACCAAAATTAATGAAAATTTTGAATTTGATCCGTTGAATGAAGTTCATAAAGATCTCATAAGTGAATTATTTGATGTTTGCTTTTGTTATTTTCCTATATCCTTTAGTCCTCCACCTAACGACCCTTACAAAATCACTGCACAAGATTTAAAGTTGAAATTAAGAAATACTATCGCCTCACAAAGTTACTTCGCCAAGGAATCTTTTGCTGACTTAGTTGAAAAGCTTACTTCAACTAATCCAGTAATAAGGAACGATATTTTGAAAACTTTGTTACTTTGTGTTGAGAATTACACGTTAGAAACTGTTGCAGAATATTGGGTAACAATCTGGAACGCATTAAAATTTGAAGTCTTACATAATGATGTATCAATTTTCAAGCCTTATATTGATGTGATTATACCAGAAGACTATGATGAAGAAATTGATGATTCTGATGAATTTAAACCATTAATTACAACTTTAGTTATCATAAAGAAGTTAGCTAGCAGGATGACTGATTTCGGTGAACTCGAGAACTCGTTAACCACTATAACTAATGAGTTAAAAAGTAATATTACTACTATCAATGACAAAACGTTCAAACAATCAGTAGTGATATTAAGTGTCTTGGCTTCCGACTCAAGTGCTGCGTTCAATTTTATTATCCAGTTTTTATTCTCCCAAGAAATATGGGGCAAATATATTAACGCTGAAGATGATTCTACAACAGAGGAACTTTCAAGCGAGCTTGATAAGACAGAAGATTTAGTTTTAAATACTTCTAAACAAAAAGAGTTGATAGATAATTTGGGATTTGTTTTGACTTCATACAATGTTTTATTGAACAATTTAGAATCGCAAGATGAATTCATTGAGAATAATTATTTGAAGTCATACAAAGATCATTTATTGATTTTTATGGGCCAACTTTTACAAACTTCTTCTAATTTGGAAAAATCCTTAAAGTGCAAAGTTATTCAACAGTTAATAAAGTTGGCTCAATTAAAAGAATTTTTGAATGAGCAAGAGTGTACATTGATTCTTAATTATTTTAAAGATATTTTGTTAAGTTCAGCGACTTCAAAGTCGAAAAATTGGGAAAAGGATCAAGTTACACAAGAAATTGTAAATGGGTTGATTAAACTCATGAGCAGCGAAGAGACCTCGAGAAATAATAAATCTTCTTTAGTTATAAACTTGATACTCCCAAGCTTATTAGAAGAATTGTCTTCCACGGACTCTTTATCTGACTTCAAAAAGCTTTTAGAAATAATTGGTGGATTGTGTACTAATTATCAATTTTTAGAAGTTCTATCAATAAGGCTTTTGAATAGATTAACCAACTACGAAGAATTTAAGATTGATCATGTTGAATTTTTCAAAAATATAATCAACTTATTGGTGGAATCGATTAAAAAGATACAAGCAACAAAGCAATTCTTGATGAATTCATGGTATAAGAACTTTATTCCAAGATTCATAAATTGTTTACTAAAATTTTTGAAAGTGAAAGATGATCATATTGTAATCGAGTTATCTGGAGACTTAATTGGTTTAATTGTGAAATATAATGATAAATCGAAACATCAAGAGATTTTGGATGATTTCGTAGGTATGTTTTTACTTGATAAAACAAAGCCTTTCTATAATACTGCCAATGTTCTTCATCAGCAAAATCCCTTAATCAATTTATTTAACAAAATTCTCGCAAATATCGATAAGACATGTGGGCTTCAACTTGGTGAGGCTTATACTGTAAATGAATTGATAGATACAGTAATCAAATTGTGCCATTCTAAGGGTAATGAATATTCACGATTAGGATATTTGCAAAACTTGTCACTTTTGGTGAATAAATTTATGCTGAACAATGACTTCATTGAAAAGAAATTGCAACTAATTTTTGAAAGTACGTTGAATGTTTCCGAATCCAACGCTGTTTTATTGCAAGACCAAATTGAGAACTTTGAAATCATCATTTGGATTCTCAAGTCGTTAATTTTAAGAATTGATACGCTTGGGGTTGAGTATTTAAATAAATTGATGTCGTTATTGTCTTGCGAAAATAGACAAATACAACAGCTAACTGCTAAATCATTTAATATTCTAATGATTGACTTACCAATATTCACTAATCAACAAATTGGAAGTAAAACCAAAATAATATCAAGTGTTCAAAATTTGAATGTTAGATTGTTGTACAAGCAGAAAGTATTTGGAATATTGTTGCCGCAAATAATTGAAGGGTACAAGACATCTAATACCCTTAATAAAGAAAATTATTTAATTTCTTTATCCTTGATATTGAATAATGTACCACATAGCATATTAAAGTCTTATTTAAATGAAATTTTACCCTTGATTTTGAATAGTCTTAACTTACAAAATCCAATTATTTTGAATGCTTCTTTAGCAACTTGTGATATAATCATTGACGAATCTCCAGATTTAATTATTCCACATTTGTCGACCTTGATTCCTAAGTTAGTTGGCTTATCAATAGGTAAAATCGTCGTTGATGGAAGCTTGGTTAATAATGAAGATGTGAGACTAATCTCATTGAAATGTTTACAAAAGATATTTTCTAATATTGAATTGAAGTATGTTATACCCTTCCAAAAGTCAACACTAAATAAATTGACTCCTGGTCTAGATGATAAGAAAAGAACTGTTAGAAAGTTATGTTGTGATGTACGTCAAACCTTGTTTGAATTAGGCAAATAATAGAATTTATAGATTAAATACATCTTGATTATTACTCGTTAAATTTATTAGTCTATTCACTATACATAATCATTATTCATCATCGGAGTCTTCTAATCCAACAGGCGCTAAACCAGGTGTCAAACCAGGATATGAGATCACACCCTTAGCAACCTTACTATTAAAATCTTTCGTTTTCTTATTTTGAATTCTTTTGGCTTTCTTATCATGCTTCTCTTTGTTAATTCTCAAAATATCTTGTCTCACTTGATCTAATTCCGATTTTATTTCCATATCATCGATTTCAGAAACTCTATTTAACGAATTAACGTTCTTCTTGACGAGCTTTTTTAAATATTTCGCTTCTTCTTCTGATAAATCTCCTCCTGATTTATGATGCTTGATAAGGTGATATTTGGCTAATTTGTTAAATTTCTTTTCGTCTTCTAATGCCTTCTTTATTTTCTTATGTTGCTTTAGTTTGTTCTGCTTGTGGATTTTCTTGAGCTCTTCGTTACTTAATTTATTCTTGTTCTCAATTTCGATACTAAGAAGCTCGGCTGATGACAAAGATGGTGATTGCTTTGCAGTAGTTCCCTGGACACCAGGCAATAAGCTTGAAAATAGCTTGTTCACTGTTGCCTCTGCATGAGACTTAGAGGACTTAGAATTAAACGACATAATTAGACCAGTATTCAATCAAAGAAGTAACTTCTAACCTTTGAATAAAATTATTTTGCTTGAGATGATGTGGTCGTGTGTTCGCCATTTAACTAGATATGCTGCAACCGATTTCCATTAACGGTCATCCTTCTAGTACTAGAAATCAATTACAGAACTCTTATATTTCCAACTTCTCATACCTCAGATACTTCTTTTGCTTAAAACAATAGCTCCTTTGCTTGGCTGCTTATCAAAACTCAATTACTAATATTCTGCAAGTCAGTAGTCGTAAAATCGAGTGTTCTTTCACTAGCTACTAGTCTGGAATTGACCAGCTAGAGTCTCTGAATCACTATCCATCACATTTACATCATCATAAATAAACAGGTACACTTGATGACAACTCAAGCTGTTCAAATATCAAATACGCCAATTTTTATTTCATGCAAGTGAATGTTTGCGTCTCAAGCAACGATGCGAACTTATCCTACTACTCTAATATATCCATGCTATACGAAATACATTATGAAGCATAATAACCAAGATATGGATGTAAACTTTATTAATTATATATGTAGTAATTGGTCAAAATCATACGCCTTCGTTTGGCTCAATTCTCATTAAAAGCTTCCACTGCATTTAAAATAATTAAGTCGACGCAAGCACCGTCATTTCAAATTCATCGTCTTAATTTTGCAGTTCCTTCCAAATACATATATGTAATCAGATGAATTAGGCCTACATGTAGTCTCTCAAAGGAGTCAGCAACAATCACAAAAAATGACATTACCCAAGCGCGAGTTTGTCACAAGCTGAAGAGCTTTCGTAATGCAAATTCACATCAACAGAACATGAGATAATAGATGAAACTGAACAAGAATTAATGATGAATAGAATCAAATATGCAATTGTTGGGACATTGGAGGTGTTCGTCGTAATATAACCGTGGGAAATACTATATCTGTGTATAATGTAGACGTCTTGTGATTAATTAGGCACTAGTGAGCAACATACCGAGGTTTAAAAAATCACATGAAAGAGATTGGTGATGAAAATTAATTTGGGGTACTAATAATGGAATAGTATATAAGAACGACAATCTGTACAATTCTAAATATTCACTCCATAGTAAATACATAAATAAATTAATATTAATCATGTCTGATATCACCGTCGATGGATTTAACGCTTCTCCTTTATTCAAGGATTTACAAGATGCTTTGCAAGATGACAAAATCAAGCAAAAGGCTATCTCAGGGGTCAAGGCTACTTTAGTGTTAACCTTAAAGAACAAGGAAGGTAAGGAACAATCCTGGTTATTAGACCTCAAGAAGGAAGGTTCTGTCAAAAAGGTTGATTCTGTCCCAAAGAGTGATGTTCAATTAATTTTAAAGGATGCTGACTTCGTCAAATTAGCTACTGGTAAGGCTAACGGTCAAAAATTATTCATGAACGGTAAATTGAAGGTCAAGGGTAACATGATGAAGGCTACTTCTTTAGAAGGTGTCTTCAAGGCAATTGGACCAAAGGCTAAGTTATAAGTTATAGGCTTACTATTATTTATTTTTTGATTTCGTTCAACCTATATAGCTATGATTTATGATAGTGCAAATAAATGTCACGTTTAAATGTGGTTTGTAGAGGTTTCATCAGATGTCTTCAATTTAGATAAATGAGGCAAATATTGGTACCTCATGCATTAATGTAAGAGGAATGAAACTTTGCTATAAAGCTTTAGCATACAATCGATCAATAATCATAAATTCATAAGATTGGATTAAACTCAATATCTAAATATTTGTTTTGAAATATCATCATGTATATACTTCCAGATGTGCACGTTCTCATCTGCTTGTCTACTGATACACTGTTAGTTGATCTCCCCCAATTATTATGTTGTCTTGATTAAGTGCAACACTATATACACTAAAGTTTTCTTCCATTCCGATAAGGTAAGTTTGATTCATCACCTTATTGTTAAGGTCAATTTCTAACTTCAAAAGAGTTTCAGGGCCGTTGTAAACCAACACTGATATAGTATCCCCTTTTCTTTGTAACACTTTAACCGTAGAAATTGGAAAATGGGAATTTAATTGATATTTGCATATTATAACTTCAGTTGCAATATTCCAGAATTTAAGTTGTCCATCCTTATAACCACTGACCAAAATTTCATCACTTATATCAATCGAGCTAACGCCAGCCTTTCCATCCTCGAATCTCACTCTCGTCTGGCAATGGTCACCAATATTGAATTGCTGGATTATACCTGAATCGAAGCCTACATAGGCGCATTGGTTTCCCGTTTCAAATTCTAATTCTGATATTTTAGACCCTGATGATTCATACTTTCCAATTACGAAGCAATTAACGGGATCATTATTATTTTGAATGCGTCTAAGACTATAGATGAGCTGACCTTGCCCACACTCCCAAATATCAATTGAGCCATCCTTAGACCCACTTATAAAATTTCTTCCTGTCTTACCGAGTAACCCAATTTCAGTTATTTCTTTTACTTGGTTTGACATTGTTCTTACTAATTCGCCCGTAAGCCCCCATATTTTTATCTTTAGATCAATTCCAACTGACATTATGACCTTGTCAGATGGAAAGAACTTCAAAATTGTTACATCCTCAAAATGTGCTTCTGGTATCTTTTTTTCTATTGTATCTGTTACCAAATTATATATAATCAATTCTCCTTTCGTAGTTCCCACAATCAAGTGTTTGCTATCTGAAGAAACTGCAACTGAACTGATTCTAGAATTTGTTAATTTCACCTTTTTATAGAAACTCTGTAAATTATAAACTTCTCTGTCTACTTGAAGCTGATAATTCTTACCTTTTGTACTCAAGAACTTTAAATTACCAACATCATTTTTCATATCCTGCTTTGTAACATCAATATACCAAAAGTCCTGATTCACCTCTGACTCAATGCTTCTCCTGGCTACCCAAAATTTATCTTGTTCGAGTATTCCGTTCTTTACATCACATATAACTTCTTCAAAAGAATCTTGTATAGTTAAAAGATCCATCGTATTTACTTCGTGATAGTTATTTTGAGTTAAATTTAAAATTCTCACCTCAAATACCAAAATTCACAGCTATACATTTAACTCTTATCTAAAAATATTTAATTAACACAAGATGACACAAATAAATGACGAGTCTTTATCCATGTTCTTCGATTCGGACTTCAATCCGTCTAATTACGTTGATGCGCTTTTCCAATCAATATCAAATAATAAACTACAATCACAGGTTTATTCAAAAACCAACCTTCAAAGCTTATCAAATAAATGTTCAAATTTAGTAACACATCTTGACTACCATACCAGTGAGTTGTCAAATGATTTAATTAATCAAATCGAAGTCTTACAAAATTCTTCAAAGGTTATCACGCAGGGATTGAATAACGATGAAGTCCCAAACGCACTGAATGATATGACCAGATTACAATACTTTATAAATACCTTGAACAATTCTATACTACTATTACAAACCGATATAAAACAGGTGAATGAAGAGTTGAACGAAAATAATGAGTCTCAGCCAGAATCCATTGATAACTTAATAAAGTTGAAAAGTATAAAGAATAATTTATATCAAGTGCTAGTTATTTTTGAAAGGCTCAACTCAATTAATATAAACAACCCAGATTCAACAACAGTTGAATCGTTTCAAAGCTCGCTAAATAACCTATATGATACTATTAGAAATCAGTTAAGTAATGAAAAAAATGAAATCAATCAACTTCTAGTCACAAATATCAATGAGCTAGTCAATTTATTGCCCTTGCTTCAAAATTTGACAAACTTCTATCCTATTTATAAAAGATTCACCAGTAAATTAAATACTGAATTAGACCACTATTTAAATACAAATAAGCATGTTTGATCTAAACTTGTTTTACTATAATATACACATAAACACCCTAGACACCAAAATAATATTGATAAAACTATGCCTTCCTGAATAGTCTTGAATTCAGTTTAATACCAAAATGCATGAATTAAATATCACCATATGATCTTTTTCTCATTCCTTATCTGATGAAGAAAACTTCTCTAAATCTTGTTCGTTATTCTTCTTTTTAGACTTCAAAAACTTAAACCCAGCATAATAAATGAATAAATTAAATGCCCTTGTTGGGAATATTGCTACTACCCATTCATTTGGAATGATTCTGATGATTAAACCGGCTGGTATTGAAAGAAAACCGCAAATCATAGCCGTGGCCCACATCGCTGGTGTCTGTCTAGCAATGCTAAATGCAGCACCGCCAACAAACATAATTAAAATCTGAGCGCCACCAATAATTGCAGCAATTCCAATGAAGTACCAGTTTCTAAATAAATGTTGTGTGAAATCCAAATTGTCCCTGGTAATTCTATCCCTTACCTTACTTACACCGTCAGCCTCGTCTAATTTTCTAGTCACAATTAATTTCCAGAATTGTAACCAAACAAATGCATTAAATGTCATAGCATCCAATTGTAAATTTTCGTGGTTCGTCGCAGGTCTTGATCCGATGAAAATTGACTTACCGGCGAAGTGTAAAATAAACGTAACAATTAACTGTGTCATTGATTGACCGAGAATCATTTTCCACATAGAGACCGAAATTAATGGAGTCTTCCTTCCAGCAGGCTTTTTTCTTAAAGATGATTCATCGGGTTTATCAGTAGCTAAAGCTAAAGCAGCTAAAGTGTCCATAATCAAATTAACCCACAATAATTGAACTGCTGTCAATACTGACTTATTTTCAGAAGATGCAACTGCTGATACAAAGGTTAACAAACAAGCTGTTATATTAACTGTTAATTGAAATTGAATGAATTTCTTAATAGATGTAGCAACTGTTCTACCCCATTTAATTGCTTGCACAATATCTGTAAAATCATCAGTCATTAAAATAATATCAGAAGCTTCCCTTGCAACTTCAGTACCAGAAATACCCATCGAGAACCCAACATCAGCTAATTTCAAAGCAGGAGCATCATTTGTACCATCTCCCGTTACAGCAACAACTTCACCTGCAGTACGCAATGTTTCTACTAAGATTCTTTTATCTTCTGGTGAAGATCTTGCCAAAACTTTCAATTTTGGAGCAATTTTGTTACGCTCTTGAACTGATAACTTACGGAAAGCTGGCCCCTCCATAAATGCATACTCATTCGACAAATCTTCAGATGTCAAAATGTTACAACCTTTAGAAATTGCCTTTGCAGTAATGAGATTATCACCTGTCACCATTCTAACAGAAACACCTGCTTGCTTACAACGGAGAACTGCTTCAGGGACACCTTCCTTCAATGGATCTTGAAGACCAACTATGCCGTCTATAATTGACATTTTTCTGTCATCTTCCACATTACCATTTGTATTAATCAACAATTTGGGATCAGCTTCTGATTTATTATCATTGACTAGTTCTTGAGGTGGCCAGCTATTAATACCCACGAAATCCCTGTGACATAAAGCAATCGCTCTTAAAGCATCATTAGCATACTCATCTATTTTTGTCAATGCAGCATCACGTAAGTTCCTATCCATTCTTATAACATCACCATTCAGATCAAGCTGATAGCCGCAATTCTTGAAAATAATTTCTGCTGCTCCCTTGCAATAGAATCTGAAACCATTATCAATCTTCATAACAACACCTGACCATTTTCTAGAACTTTCGAAGGGAAAGACTTGAACAATATCTTGCAAGCTGTCCTGTCTTTGTTGTTCTAATGATTTATCACCGAATAAATTCAATTTTTCATTAGCCAAGATCAACAACGCACATTCTGTCTTATTACCCAAATATGGTTCATCCACTTGATGAAATTCTAACTGTTTCTTTTGACGAGCACTTGAATTGGTAAGTAAATGCTTGATAAGAGATTGTTTCTTAGGTTTTATTTTCGCCAATTCAGCTTTCGCCTCGTCGTAATCCAGATTCACAAAAGAAGTTGAGTTAATAGCCACATTAGTACAGAAGAAAACATTCGAATCATTCAGTATACTTGAAAACATATCCAGTGATCTTGGACCATCGCTTCCAACAGTATCGTCAAAATCTTGACTACCGAAAAGTCCCTTCACAACTCTCATTCTATTTTCAGTTAAAGTACCTGTCTTATCTGAACAAATAGCAGTTGCACCACCCATAGTTTCACACGATTTCAAAACTCTTACCAAATTACCATTCTGTGCCATTCTAGTACTTGCAAATGCCAAAGCTAAGGTAACCGCTAATGGCAATCCTTCTGGAACAGCCACCACAACAATAGTGATAGCAGTAATCAATATATCCACAAATTTTTTACCTTTTTCTGTACTTTTCAAAATATGAAACTTTCCTCCTGGTGCAATATTAACACAATACCTAATGAACAATACGATGAATAATACCAACGCTGCCAAAAAACCATACTTGGAAATACCTTCAGCTAAATTGTCCAATCTTAACTGTAATGGAGTGGTCTCACTTTCTTGATTTAAACTTGCCATTGTCCTCCCATGAATGGAATTGGGGCCCACTGCGGTAACCATGGCATTACCTAAACCTGACAATACTTTAGCTCCTGAAATTAAAAAGGGATCTTTAAATTTGATATCTCTAGACCCAATATCTTCATTCGTCGGCAACTGATTCTGATAAAATTTCATAGATTCGTCTGCTGGCGCTTTCTTAATGGTATGCGCCTCACCGGTCAATGCAGATTCATCACACTCAACTTCTCCACTAACCAAAATTGCATCCGCTGGTATCACATCCCCAGTCTGTAGGTTTGTTATATCACCTACCATTAAGTCGTAAATAGAAATCATCTTCTGACAACCATTACGAATAACAATTAACTCACGATCTTCCTTCTTAGCGTTCAATTTTGCAAATTGACGCTCTTTTTGGTAATCATTTGCAGCACCCACAAGAACCACAATAGCAACTGCTACCATGATGGCGACCCCTTCGACCCAGTCGACCTTTGGCATTGCATTTCCTTCATCGTCGTACATAACACCCTGGCCGAATGTTTCGTAGAGCCCCAATGCAAGAGAAATCACAGCTGCCACTGACAACAAGATCAAAACCTTATCTTTCATCGCATCAAAGCACAACTCAAAGAAACCCTTACGTACTTTCGTTGGCAACCTATTGACTCCATAGTACTGTGTTCTCCTTTCCATATCCTTCTCATCCCCGTCATTAATACCTCCCTTTAGGTCAGTTTTGAAGTTGGCACTCAAACTATCTACGCCTCCTATTTCATACAACTTCTTCATCGACTTAGGGTCATGCAACTCTGCTAACTCATCAGGTCCGATGCTATATGGCTCTCCCGCCAACGGTGATGCAGACGATATGCTACCTTGATCTGATTCACCTTGAAATTTTTGAGGTTCCACCCCCAAAGTATGTCCATACTTATTAGGATTTAATGCAACCATTATACCCTATTATTATGAAGGTACGAAGCACTATTATGTATTAATTAAAATACCAATAGATTTTTATAATAAGAACTGTTCTACTTAGTAGAAGATATATTAAATGTTTATCAGGTATAGACAGATCTATGAAAAATTGTTCAAAAACTTCAATCTTATCCTCACAAATCCTTTGGAATATTGATTTCAATTTATATGATTAATGTTCACTATATGGATTATCCCTCTTTGCCGATATACGATTGATAAGCTTAATTTTATCAAAATGAACTGGTTCAAGGTAAATTTCTAATAGAGGCTGTGTTCCACGTATGTTCGGAAATGGCTCTAGATGCCCTATTATCTACAACTTCCGATTTATTTACGACTGAATTTATGGGCCACTCATGTGATGATATGCGCTATTATATACTATATACCGAGAATTTAGCGAGGATGCAAAATACATTTAATACTTTGCGAGGTTTGACTCTACAATTGGAGGCTAAGTGAAAGTGCAAAGTCTTGGGTGACACAAGATCTAGCAACATAATGTATGCAATTATGTAGGTATAGGCTTATTGCGGTTATAGTAGGCAAGGTTTCGATCGGTCAGAATTTGCAACTAAATTGTAGTCACTCCCTCGCCGAACAATTAAAATATCATCGAAACCTAGTCATACTCAGTAGAATTGCTTACAATCTGATCTTTGCCGACCACTATTACATATATGTCAAGCATGTCGGTTTGCATACAAATACTAATAAATGAAGAAGATTTAAAATTTTTGCTGGATATATTCCGCAGCAAAGGATTATCAAGATCTATTCAAGCCACCAGTGCATCTAAACATACCCAGCAGTGCCCGATTTCTACATGGATGAAGAGGACAAAGTCGCAGGCATTGCTAATTGTTCAAATGGCCCCAAATACTTGGCACTGCTATTGCTATCGAAAGAGTAATTTTCGCGAATGATAGACGACAGTAGAGTGTAGCCGTATATTGTGCGCAGGCTAAATTAATTGTCATTTTCGGAAATATGTAATTGATGACCTGGTTTCTGTGTTTTTTACCACGGCAGGCCCAAGTAATGTGAACAGCCATGGCGATAAAGGGCAGCGTCGCCACTAGCTTTGCATAATATTGAGTGGCTTGAGGATTGCCATGTTATTTGATGACCAAATTTTCTAATTGCTTTTCACGCATAATAATCATAGCATGCGCAAGATTCTGTAAAAGAAGTCTGATAGTTAACGAGATATACAGCGCATGTAAACAGGGTTTTGCTCAAAATAGCGAGATTAGCCCTGCTGGCCAAACGGTTAAGGCATCCGCCTCCTAAGCGGAAGACTCCGGGTTCGAGTCCCGGGTAGGGTTAAAATTTTTTTTTTTTATTACTATATCGCGACCTTCATTTGCTTATCGGAAAGCACTCCTTATCTATCAATGCATCCACAAATATTGATTCTTGATGTATAAACATGGTTGAGCGTTCCCGATTTACTTCTTTACAACATTATGGAAAAATATTTCTTGAAAATTTGCAATTTGCATGCTTGTTTATAATCCCTTTGTACGTCATTGTATTCACTGTTCCATTCGTCGTAAACCCTGATACGATTGACCAGTTTAAAATAAACTTTAAGGTTGTTTTATTATCCAAGCCGTTTTGCGAAGTAAAATCTGAGGAGTGTCATAAGCTATTAGATCCAGAATATGGGGATCCTTCTCTCTTGTTGAAGACGTCATTTCCGGAGTATGAATTGGTCTATATCAGGCATTATTGGATAGACTACTTCGACAGAATGTTGATCACCTTGGTAGACAAGTCATTCTTCAGGCCGTTGATTTTGATAATTAATAAGCCTGCGGATCCCAGCGAATGGTGGTCAAAGGTGCTCGAGTCATTGCGTGTCGTAATGGCTATAGGAAATGCAATGATTTTTCATGCAATCAAGGGTGTTCTTGTCTCGAAAATGTGGGTCTTCTTTATATTCGGTGCAATTACTACAATCTACGACTCTTGGGCGTCACTACTTCAAACGTTGTCCAGTGTGCTCAGATCGGCCAACGCTATATTCTAATGCTGAAATGTTACTTATATATACATATATTCTATCAGAAACCGAAGTCAAAGGCACTCATGTCTGGTTCTTCGAATGCAGTGGGTGGAGGTGGTTGAGCCTTGATTTTTTGAGCCATGCTTTCAGGGTGAATACCATTTTCAGTAAATGATAAAGTATTTTGCTTCTCGTTTAATTGATTCGTATTCGTATTCGTTGGCGTATTATTTGACCATTTAATTTCATTCTTCGATTCATCATATTTGACGAAACTCCAATTTCTAATTAATACCACTGCTAAGTAATCACAACCCATTCTTGTATATATCGAGCAAACTTTTATAATAAAATTAAATTCCTCCTCGGGTGCGATAGATAATGATCCCTTCAAGTACTTTACAGTTTTCTGTCTTAATGCATGAAACAAAATAACTAGCACTGGGTCATCTTTCAAAAAGCTCATACTCGAAAATTGTGGAGTGATTTTGCTAATATAATATTTATAGCAATCATCAGAAAATTTGGATTTATGCTGCTTGATGATTTCTATAGGCGATTTGATCAATGCCTGAATTGATATTTCATTTTCTTCCAATTCCCAAAATATCCAACTTGTTATCCATCTGTCTCCATTCTTCAATACTTCTGGTACCATATAATTTTCAATTAAATTCTTAATAATTTCCTTCTCTGAGATTGTGCCTTTGCTCGTTGCCGCATAAATCTTAGCTATTGCGATCGCTAATTGAACATCATTCAATTTCGTAGCTATTACATTACAACAATCCTTCAATGCATCTGCTAAAAGAAAAAAATAAGCTGCATCAATGTATCTATGTTTACCCATTAATACGTACGCATTTTTCAACGCAGCAGATTTCCATCTTTGCTCGTTAAAATCATTTGCTAGAAATTTTAACATCTTTTGTTGTTCTGAGTGGCTGACTGTCCTCCACAATCCAATTAATACTTGCTTTTTACGAATTGCTAGATAAAATAAAGAGACTCTTCCCGATGGATCTCTTGTATCACTAAATTCATTTCTGGCAGATGATTCAATGATTTTTGTCAATCTTATTGTTTCGACCCAATAAACAAGTCCTGTTTGTTTCACATTGTCCCATTTAAGTCTATTTTTGTAGTATGCTTCTACCATAGTTAGTAACATTTCCTTATTGTCACTATGTAAAGCCCAGCTGATATCTCTAGTGGTTAGTTTTGATTGTTTAGAAGATAGTTGAAATAATTTCAAGCCCAATAAAAATCTTAAACCATTCTCATCTAAGGCTATCACGTATTTCTCGAGTTCCCTTACTATTGAAATTATTGAAATTAATGTTATTTGTTGATGCCTTGTCAACAAAGGTAGAGATGTCTTCATCAACTTCTCAATTAATAAATCCAGCAAGTTATCATTAAAAGAACTAAAGATATGAATACCTGAAGAATCAAATTTACTTGTTAAAGCATCATTAATAATATCAATTTTATTTGACAAGGATGGTGTACTTGCTCCACTTTGCCTTGATTCGTTATTTTCAAACACCTCATTTGTCAAATCCATACTCAAATCCCACTGGATGGGATCACCTTTCCGTAATATTTGAAATAATCTAACAAGAACATCTTTCACCAATGAAATTTGGCTCATGAATAAACACTGAATTAAAAATTGAGGATGATATACAGGCAATGGGCCATTCAAAATTCTAACTAATTGTTCAATATCATATACCAAGTCATTAGTAGATTTGGCTTTGTTTTGTGCTTCATCGTTTGCTTCATTCTCTTCATTTGCTTTGTTGGTATATCCCACCATTAACTGACGTATCGTAGAATCAAGCGAACTATTCGTCGAACTACCTAGCTTTACCCATTTATCATCTATAAAAAATTGATTACCACAGCCAATGACTAAGTATCCATCATCAAGCCAAATCAGGTCTCCAATTTCATGTGAAGTGTAATCTGATATATCAATCTTTTTTAATACCCCAAATGTTGGGATTTTATTCGTGTAATCATAACGCAACTGAGTGTATAACAAGACAAATCTCAGAAAACCTACTGACAATATAGCATTTGATGTCAGTTTCTCCGAACTCGAAGTAATAAATGTCCAATCAAGATCTGTTACAGCACCGTAACTCTCGTCAAATGTTTCTTCGTACTCTAAGACGCCAGAATTTGTATCCCAAATTGTCAATCGAGAGCCAGTTTTGTCAACTATAGCAAACTTATTGATAATTGAAGCTCCGTGTATTTTACTAGCTTCCGATATATTAGTATGGAGCCTGTACGTTTCAACCCATTCTAGTGAATCCCGCGACTTTGCAAAGTCGATTGCAAAAAACTTTACCCGATCTTTCTTATCGATCACAGATATTAAATTCCTCTCACCTTTGGAAACAAAAGAATCGATTAAGGCTATTTGATGAATCTTTTCATTCTGCGGTAAATTATTAATACTTAATGACTTCAAGCTGATAGACATAGGTTGCTTATTATTACTTTCAATAATGAGCTTCCAAGCTCTCACCAAATCATTTTCAAATATGGCAATTATACAATACTCTTTTGAATCGCAGGACTCTTTTGGAAACTCTGTTATTACAAATGCCCTAGGCTCTTGAACGACACGCTCATTATTTGAACTTAAAATTTCTAATCTTTCTAAAAGTGATGCATTTCGTATATCCAGTGTTAATGCATTACAATCCCATAAACTTATAAGTCCACTCTTTTCCAAAGCCACCACCAAGTGATGTCTTCCGATTTTATTGGGGGGTTCAACATCATTCAACAAGACGCTGTCCCAAATCCCTTCACTCTTCTCGTTCGTTTTGGAACAACCATTGTTTAAATTAATTTGAAACTTCTTAGTTATTGACATACTTTGAGTATTCGAAGTACCGATCAGTAAAGGTTCCCATAAGTAGTTATGTTCAGGGAAATTCAGAATTGAAAACAAAATGTTGTTCGAAGAAAATGAGGAATTCGATCTAACTAATTTTTGTATTGATTTAGTATGGCCTTGAAATTTGTTAATTAGTTTTGCACCTAAAACAGATGAATCTGATTTCAATATATTCTGGAAATCAAATACATTAAATCTGATTGTATTTTTTAGTCTGTCGTGGATTAATATGGACAACCCAGTTGAATTGCTGCTGTTATCTAAAAATTCTAATTCAGGGAATATAATTGGCTTTAAATTTATCAAAAACTCCTCGCTTTGGATTACTTCTTTGGTTAGAGTTTCAAATTTTGTATTATTAATTCCATTAGGAAATGAGTTTTTATCAAAACACATATTAGATTGATCCAACCTTTCAAATTTTATTGCGTTTGGTGGTGTCAATGAAATATTCAAAATAGAATAAATTGCAATCTTACCTTTTTTACTCACAACGAATAGAAGGTCTAAATCATTTAAATTCTGGTTTTCAAAATACTTGAATATTCTAGAACTCCCTTGGCCGGTCTCAATTTGGGGAATTAATGTCTTTTGGAGATGAAAATTATCTATTGTTACAATCGAAATTATCTCGTCATCATCAAAACAGCCTGTTAAGTCTAATGATGCCCACGATCTGAAATGGCTGTGCCCGCTAAATTCGTAGGCTGCCCATACTCGCAAAATATTATCGTTTGTCAACGTATATATTATGTCATTATCATCATTACCATTATCAATATATCCACGAATATTTTTAATATTGGCCATAGAACTGTCTACAGTGCTAATCGAGTCAGATGGAATACGAAACTTCCATTTAAGGTCAGTGACATAAGTATTCAAAGGGTGATTTAAATAAGAAAGCTCAAATAAAGTATTCTCGCCATAGTTAATTCTAGACCACACTTTCACCAATCTTTCATAATTACCACTAATGGTAATTATTTTATTGGAATTATTTGTAATTTTTATGTTTGTAATAGGATTTGATTGAACCGAATTCCATCTTTTTTCATATTTCAAGGATCCATACTCATCGTAAATATGGTAAAGTGTTAGGGATTCTTTTGATCCCACTATCAACTCATCCTCCAATGGTGCCCATTGTAAACAGCTTATTAAAGTAGAATCAACGTTATCGAATTCTAATGCATGAGTCCATTGCGGTTTCAGCATGTATTCATTAACAGGCTTATAGACAACTATATTGTTTCCGATCGAAATAACAATGAGCCCGTTAGATGAATTAATATCAATTGCATATGGATCGGCTTCCAAGTAGATAGTTTGTAAGTGATCTGATTTTTTATTCTTTGTAGCGCTATCTGTTGTCGTGGTGTATATGATCAAATTGTTCCCTGACCCATAGGCGATTATATGATGAGATTTCCATAACCCTTGCAGCACAGAATACGGGCTATTATTTACCTCCCCTGGCACAAAGTTTATAGTCATTTCTAATCAGAATTATTCAATTTTGGCTTTTAGAACTATCAAAGGACATAAACTACTGGATTGATAATTGAGACTTCGAGATTGATCTTAGATTAATTTATTTCCACCCAGCTCCAACTGACGAGAAATAATAATATATATCAATCAATTCTGGATTATCTTAGTATTTTCTAAGATTTTTTCTCTTTCAATTGAAGAAAGTCTTTTGTTATAAAGATAAGAAGTCTGGCTTTCTATATGTTTAACCCAGTGTATCCTATAAATTTTGGTCCTGTATATAGTTCATACCTTTTATAGATGGAAATAATTCTATATCATGATTATGGAATTAGTACTTATTCTTACTTGACGGATTCAAAATGGGTGCAAGGTATGTAATGTTTTGATATTGAAAAGATCTTCTTTGGTGTGAAACTTGTCATGTAGCTGATCGAATTTTCTTGTTGGATCTACTATCACGTAAATCCAAATGGACATAAAAATGAATTTTTTATACTAATGCTCTGTAGTTGTAAAGACCAAAAGAAAGCTCTAGCTATTTGCTTACAAAGGTCTCCATGTGTTCTTATAGAGAGAAATACACCTAAGAAATGTTTGTCCGATCCCGAATTAAAAAAGGATCTTCCAGATTTGTGTATCGCCAACTTCAGGGCATTCATGGAGTGTAAAACTGGTATGTTCGATATGAGAAAAAGAATGAAAGGTAATGCTCCATTGTCCACCGGTAAGTATGATGATACTTATGAGAATCTATCATCAGGAAATTTCGATGCTCATGAAGAAATGAAAAAATTGGAAGTCTTAAACAGAAATTTATCTAAACAAAGACTCTTGAGAGAAGAGCAAGAGAGGGCAAGGTTGGCCGGGGGGTTGGAAACCGATAACCAATAATAGCATATCCCGTTTTATTTCGGAATCTACCAGAGTAAAAGTACTCGAAAATGCAACTAATGCTAAAATCTCATAAATTTAGCTTGTAAATAGGAAATTACGTCTGACCATATTAAATAATATATCGGTAAAGACGATATAGGTCTTATTAATAATAAAGGTCTTATAATATCTCATATCAGAATACATATTAATCCTTGTAATCGATAAGACCATGTACATTGCGCATATTTACTACTTAGGATTTTGAGCAGAATAATATTTGCCTACCTTACTCTATGGCAGAAGCTATCTTAGCATGAATTCACAGAAGAACAAAGTAAATGATGTATGTTACTCAAGCATTTTATTTATATCATCTCAGCTCAAATAACTATCATACAAATCTCGTCCTCTAGTTAAATGCGCGGCCGATTGACAAATAATCAAGCTTTATGGCATATGATCCACAGTATTGAAAAATTTGATTTCTTTTGTACTGTGAATATAAATTGAATATCATTTATTCGAAAGGAAAGATATAAAATTGAAATATACATCAACATTAATACAATGACTAAAATAAGTAGTGATATAGAATCGGATAGGGTTGCAGAGCTCGATAAATTGTTAAGCTTGATAAAGCCTAAAATCCTTGAGTACATCGATAAGGCAGACCCAAATTCCTCTAATTACGAAATTGATTCTTTAGGAAAATATCATAGTCCAGAATTTTTAAAGAAAGAATTTACTAATGATAAAGAACTCGATAACGGTATTAAAGGTGATTATGAAAAATTGTCCAATACCGTTGATCAAGTCTTGAAATACTCGGTTAACACATGGAACCCAGGATTTTTAGATAAGTTATATGCATCTAACAATCCTATTGGTGTCATATCAGACTTGATACTATCAATTTTAAATACCAATTCACACGTATACACTGTGTCGCCCGCTTTATCAGTATTGGAAAATTATATTGGTAGGAAATATGCACAATTATTTTTTGACGATGACAAAGAAACTTGTGGGGGTCTTACTTTTTCAGGTGGATCGTGGTCAAATATCACTTCGATGCAAATTGCAAGAGCATTGAAGTATCCAGATACTAAAGAAAACGGTAACGGAGATTATAAATTTGCCATCTATACTTCAGAACATTGTCACTACTCAGTGATCAAAGGTGCTATTTTGTTGGGCTTAGGGTCCCTGAATGTTTTCAAAATTAAAATTTTGCCAGACGGAAGTATGGACGTAAACGATTTGAGTAAGGTTATTGAGAATTCCATCGAGCAAGGATACACGCCATTGTATATCAACGGTACTGCCGGTACAACTGTATTCGGATCTTATGATCCATTTGAAGAGATCTCTAAGATTGCTAAGAAATTTGATTGTTGGTTTCATATTGATGGATCTTGGGGTGGTAACGTTGTATTTTCAGAAACTCACAAGTCTAAAATGAAGGGTTCAAGGTTAGCTAATTCCATTACAGTTAATCCTCACAAAATGTTAGGGATCCCAGCAACTTGCTCTTTCCTTTTGTTGCCCCATGTTCTGCATTTCCAGAAATCTTTATCGTTATCAGCACCATATCTATTCCACGGCAGGGAGAGTGATGACGATAGCATTGAAAATTATGACTTGGCTGATGGAACTATGGGATGCGGTAGAAGAGCCGATTCTTTCAAATTCTACATGGGTTGGTTATATTATGGAACGGAAGGCTTTGCTGGCCGTGTCGACCATGCATTTGCCATCGCTAAAGACTTTGTTGAAAAGATCAGTAAAAACCCTAAATTTAAATTGGTTATCGGTAGTGAAAAGGAATTGCCAGCATGTTTGCAAGTCTGCTTTTACTATAGGCCATCTGATTACACTGATCACGACAATACAGAAATCACCCGTTTCATTTCGAGAGAATTACATAAAAGAGGTAGGTATTTGGTAGATTTTTCACCTAACCCTACTGACAAAGGCAACGAAGGTGAGTTTTTTAGAGTTGTATTCAATTCGCCTACTTTAACCGATAAGGTTGTCGATGATTTAATCAACAGCATTATTGAAGTCGGTGCGGAATACAAAAAATAGAGTATTTATTTAATAATATAATTTAGCGCTTGCAATTCAACAATTCCATCTGCAACAATTGGTTGCATTCGATACCTGGGTATCTTCAATTGGTTGCACCAACCAAAAGGTCTCCGCATTATTTGCAATTTATTTATGTAGTAATCTCTGATGACATCATGGTTACCAATATTCAGGAAATAAATTTGCTAAAATCAAAGGTCGACTGATATCAGGTCTTAATATTACCAGAAAATCTTCAAGCGCAACGTGACAATTAACCACTTAATCGATAATTTTATCTAGTACTTCATAATTACATTCCAATCGAGTAATAATCATGATAAATAAACGATGTAACGTGAAAGTAGAGTAGCCACTTTAAATTGCAAAATATGCACACCAGGGATATTCCACAAGATACTACTAATTGTGCTACGAGCCTAATCATAAAAAGCCTTACGAAATCCAATGTTACGTTCCATTAAGCTAAGCGAGAAACACAAGATTAGGTAATTTCAAGGTGATTTATTGATTACGGAAGGTCGCAATCAGTTTCTTGTGCGAGAATAGTAAAAAAATGATAAGGCGAAACAATAGAATTAAATGGGAAAGATCTCATAAATATTTAAAGTGCCGTAGAATTTACATAGAGAATTTTGAGTTAAATGGGATTTTGCTCACATTAAATCAAATGTAACATGGTTGTATATACGAATTACCCCAGTGCGAATGTAATATCAACGTTCAATCCCCTTTCAAAAATAGGAAGCACTTTATCTTTAGATTATCACATATGACCCATTACTTAGTAAGGAATAAATTGAGTCTCTCTTGTATATATATATTGCAAAAATACCACTTATTTTAGGGAGTTTTTTTTTTTCAATATAGAATAAGTTTCGGTAGAAAATTTTCAGGACATATATAGAAGGTAGTGATGTCAGAAAAAGAAGCTAATACAAACGTTGAACTTGATAGCAGTGTTGAGTCTTCTGACAATTATCACCACGATGATAGTCATCTTGAACTCAAGAAACATACGCCAGAAGAAATAGCTTCATCTGGCAAATGGTACGATCGAAGATTGATTCCTGGGCTTCCCCAATATTCTGACTCGATGGTTCAGATTATAATGCTTTCATTTGTTCTTTTCATGACACCTGGTATGTACAATGCGTTGAGTGGTATCGGTGGTGCAGGTATATCGGATAGGTCAACGGCAGATAATGCTAATGTTGCGTTATACTCATGTTTTGCAACTATTGGGTTTTTTGCTGGTACTATTTGTAACTATTTTGGTATTAAGGCTTGTTTGATTGGTGGAGGTACTGGTTATTTTATTTACTCGTCGAGTTTATTATGTTTCTATCATACTCAGAACAAAGGGTTTGTTATATTTGCTGGTGCCTACTTGGGTATTTGTGCCTCTTGTCTTTGGGCAGCTCAAGGTACGATCATCTTGAGTTATCCTACCGAAGATAAAAAGGGAAGAGCCATTATGGTGTTCTGGGTGATATTTAACTTGGGTGGTGTTATCGGATCCATCATTCCATTAGCTAACAATATTAATAATAAGGGTTCAGCAGTTGGAGATAGTACCTATATTGCATTCATGGTTTTGATGTTCTGCGGTTCACTCATAGCTATGTGTATGTTGCCAATGAACAAGGTTTGGAAATCAGATGGTACTCGTGTCATGAATAAGAAGTTCCCAAGTTGGAAAAAGGAGCTTGGTGATTTATATCACTTGTTGATTTCTGAACCAAGAATTTTTTTCATATTCCCTATGTTTTTTGCTTCGAACTGGTTCTATACATATCAATTTAATGATTTCAACGCTGGTCGTTTCAATATTAGAACCAGATCCTTAAATTCGTTGCTTTACTGGTTATCTCAAATGTTTGGTGCTACTATTTTTGGATCTATTTTAGACTTGAAGTACTTCCGTAGAAGTGCTCGTGCTAAGCTTGGATATATCATATTAACTGTTGTATCTTTAGCTATTTGGGGAGGTGGATTAAAATTTCAACTTGGCTTTACAAGAGAAGATGTCACAAGCCCAGATGCTGCTGGTAAAATCCCACCTAAACTTACTCCAATTGATTTCAAAGATGGTGCATATGTTGGACCTGTGTTCCTTTATATATTCTATGGTATCTTTGACTCCATGTTCCAAACTTACTTGTTTTGGATTTTAGGAAGTATGAGTAATAATCCTAAGAAGACTGCTTTATACGCTGGTTTTTACAAGGGTCTTCAATCCGCAGGTGCAGCGATTGTATGGAGATTAGATGCTTTGGAAAAACCTTACATCGACTTGTTTGCAAGTTCTTGGGCTTTGGTTAATGGTTCTTTGCTTATCGCATTGCCATTGGTCTGGTTTAAGATTACTGATCACACAGACATTGAAACCGATGGCTTGACTGAAGTTATAACAGAAAATGAAATTAAGTCAGTTAAATCCATTGCAGAGGTTTAATTACTCTAATTCCTTCTGCTGTATATTACTTCTTAATAATCGCGCTTTTGGTGTAAATAATGAGATTACTTGTATTTTAATATAATTTAAATCAAATATCATAGTATTGTATTCTGCATTTAGAACATAGATTTAATATTGGACAACCATTTGGTTTCCGATGATTTTAATTTTGAAGAATGTTTTTAAATATCACGATTAAATTGAATTAGGTTTTATATATTTTCTCAATTTTAGAAGCAACAGTAAGAAATAAATGAAAGTTGCAAAAAGTGTGCCGTAATTTGTAATTTAAAATGAACTAATCAAACCAAACATCTTTCATTCACATAAAAGTAGGTTCAAAGAGGGCTACGGCTTTTCAAGTTCATGTTTGAATGCATAGGTAAATTAATACATGTTGAATATGACGTGCAGGATTTTGCAACAACTTAAAGTTATGGCTTTTTTTTACTCGAAATATTAACAGTTAAAGGGAAGCATTATAACAAAATTATAAAATAGTTAATTATTAGTACATCTTTGTCAATGTTCTATTTAAAAAATATAGTACTCTGTTAAGTCCCTTCCCCGGAGTAGATATTGGGAAGTAATGAAAACTCTCATCACTTACCTGCGCCTTTCACAGTCATAAAGAGTAAGAATCAAATATCAATTTATTCATAAGAAATCAAGAGAAATATGTGATAACATTGTCTCTTTCGAGCTGAATAGTCCTAATATATATTATATAGAAAGTATCACTGTTAAGGACGAAACCAAAATTGTTCCGTTATATGCAGTAAACATAGCTCATCGTAACGACTATGTATTTAGCATGGATATTGTTTACAATAAGAAAATCTCTTAGGTATACCATAATTAGTTAGAATGCTGATTGATAATGAATCCTTGTACCTATATAATCTTACTATTAAGCAACCGTCCCTGTGTATTGCTTCGATTGTAGGTCAATTCTTAGGTAGTAAGAAATCACAAGAGATTATACTAGCCAACTCAACATCGATCGAGTTGTGGAAAGCAGATTCAAATACAGGTAAATTAGAAAAACTCTACCAACAAGCATCATTTGGTATAATACAGGCACTCGATAAAATACGATTGGTTGGTTCTCACAAAGACTATGTTGTAATTTCATCAGATTCGGGAAAATTGGTTGTCTTAGAATTTGACACAGAGAAATTACAATTTGTACCGTTATTTCAAGAACCTCATTCCAAGAATGGGTTGAGAAGAACTTCACCTGGTGAATATCTATGTGTGGATCCTCACAACAGAGCAATTCTAATTAGTGCCATAGAAAAGAATAAATTGGTTTATAAAGTGCAATCAAATGATGAAGGGAAACTTGAATTATCATCGCCACTAGAGACATTTTCCAAACAAACTTTAACTTTACAAATGTGCGCTATGGATACTGGATTTGAAAATCCAATGTTTGCTGCTATTGAATGTGATTATAATGCGAGCCAACAAGACAATGGTCATGTAGATGATGACCGCGATATTGATAAGCCATCATTACTTTTAAACTACTATGAGTTAGATCAGGGATTAAACCACGTAGTGAAACATAAATCCAATGTCAAAATTCCCGGATCTTCTTCACATTTGATTCCGTTACCAGATTTTATTGGAGGCCTACTTATTTGCTGCAAATCGGCAATTATATATGCTCATCCGTCTAAAGACAATCAATACCTACCAATACCTATAAGGTCTAATACAAACGAAACTATCATAGTGAACCACGTTATCCACAGGCTTAAGAAGAACAACTTTTTTATTCTAGTCCAAAGTCAATTGGGGGACTGTTTTAAAATGACTATTGATTATAACGAGGGTAATGAAAATATTGAAAATATCAACATATCTTATTTTGATACAATTCCGTTATCACAAGGCCTTAATATATTCAAGAGTGGATTTCTTTTTGCTAATGTTGCAAGCAACAATAAACTCTTCTATCAGTTTGAAAAATTGGGAGATGATAACAACTCTACTACGTTACAATCTTGCAACTTTCCTGACTATAAGTCTATATTTGAATTGGATATAACAAATCGATATTTCAAAGTCGCTGGATTAGAAAACTTAGCATTAATCGATATAATGGAAACTTTGAACCCCATTACAGAGGGTGCTCTAATTGAAACATTACGACCAGAAATTCCTGACCCATTTAAGCAGTTGACACTTCTATCTTCACATTCATATTTGAAGACTTTGACGCATGGTATTTCTACCAATACTGTTGTTTCATCACCCTTACCTATTCAGCCAACAGCAATAAGTACTACGAAGGTTTTTGCGGAGTCCACCAATGATGAATATTTGGTTCTATCATCCACGCTATCTTCTCAAACATTAGTATTGTCTATTGGTGAGGTAGTGGAAGAAGTGAGTGATTCCCAATTCGTTACAAATGAACCTACGATAAATGTCCAACAAGTCGGAAAATCCTCAATTGTTCAAATTTATTCTAATGGTATTAGGCATATAAAACACACATCGATAAATGATCTGATAGAGAAGAAGTCAACTGACTGGTACCCCCCTGCAGGTATTTCAATTATTAAAGCTAGCACAAATAATGAACAGGTTATAATTGGATTATCCAATAGAGAAATCTGCTACTTCGAAATTGATCCAGTGGACGATCAGTTGGTTGAATATCAAGAAAGGTTAGAAGTGTCTGGCGGATCAATTACTGCGCTCGCATTGTCTTCTTCACTTATCAGTAAATCACAAAGAAAAAGCTCATTCGCTATTGTTGGTTGTTCAGATGAAACTATTCAGGCCATTTCGTTAAAGCCTCATAATTGTCTTGAGATAGTTACTTTGCAAGCGTTGTCAGCAAATGCTGCATCCATTGTAATGGTGCCATATGAACATTCGACATTAGTTCATATTGGTATGGAAAACGGGTTGTATGTCCGTGTCACCATCGATGAAACAACAGGGAAATTGTCCGATACAAGAATTCAATTTTTAGGGTCAAAACCTGTTCAATTATCTGTCATTGGATTGCCACAATTACAAAAAAACGGTCTTTTAGCTATTTCTTCTAGACCGTGGATTGGTTATCATTCTAAGGGAGATTTTAAGATGACTCCGTTGTTGGATACTAGCATTACAAATGGTGCATCGTTTTATTCTGAAGATATAGGAGGTGAGGGCATAGTTGGGATAGATAATAATAACTTGATAATACTTACTATTGGTAACGCTGATAGTGAAGAATCTGGATTCAACATTAACGATGATTTCATAATAAACAGCGTTAAACTACGCTACTTACCTAGAAAGATGATTGTTGACAGTCCAACCGACCACAAAGCAAGCTCTTCCACATATATATATATAATTGAATCAGAATATGGTATTTTATCACCATTCCCTGTCACAAATCTTTCCGACACTCCGAATGAAAGCAAAAATGCAAATGTGGATGCCCCAGAAATAGATCAAGATTATTTCGATGCGTTTGGTTTTGAGAAATCAAAGCATGCTTGGGCATCTTGCATTGAAATTATAGATTTTAATAATCAAGAGATTATCCAAACTATCGAATTACCAAAGAATGAAAGTGCTATATCACTTTGTCGTTTACATTTTGAATCTAGACAGACTAAAAATCAAGAATTTTTAGTCATCGGTACAACGAAAGATCAGAAATTCTTACCTAACTCGTATTCGAATAATTATTTATATACTTTCATGGTTAACAAGACGTCCGATAGGAACAAAGAAGTCTTGGAATTTGTCCATAAAACTGAGTTAGATTACCAGCCAACTGCTATTATTCCATTTAATGGGAAATTGCTAGTTGGGATGGGAAACTTCTTACGACTTTATGATCTAGGTCAAAGGCAGCTTTTGCGGAAATCATCATCCAATATAGACTACTTGAAAAATATAGTTAGATTAACTCATCAAGGGGGGTCTAGAATTGTTGTGGGTGATTCGAGTATGTCAACGACATTCGTTAAATACGATTCCATGGAAAATCAATTTATTCCCTTCGCAGACGATATTATGAAGAGACAAGTGACAGCTTTGATTACATTAGACTACGATACAATAATTGGAGGTGACAAGTTTGGGAACATATTTGTCTCTAGGGTTCCAGAAACCATTTCACAACAATCTGATAAAGATTGGAGTATACTAAGATACCAAGAGTCATATCTTAATGGATCAGGTTCAAGATTAAAAAATATTTGCGAATTTTATTTACAAGATATACCTACGTCGTTTACAAAGGGAAGCTTAGTAATGGGCGGCAAAGAAAGTATAATTTATACTGGAATACAAGGTACTTTGGGTCTTTTGCTACCGCTTTCTACAGAGAATGAAGTAAAATTTTTGGGTGATTTGCAACTTTTATTACGCAAATACTTCGATTATAATTTTGATGATTTTGATAAAAACAAAAATGGTTACAATTTACTAGGTAAGGATCATTTGAAATTTAGGAGTTATTATAACCCGGTAAAAAACGTTATTGATGGTGATTTAATTGAAAGATTTTGTGAATTAAGTCATTCAACGAAAATAAAGATTGGTTCAGAATTGAGTAGAACACCGAAAGAGATCGAAAAGAAGATCTCAGAATTGAGGCATAGATCGGCATTTTAGCCTAATCTAATTTAATGAATAATAATACTTTATTAACTAAATACACAAGTAGACATACATAATTAATATATATATAAATATATTATAGGACAACGTAAAAAAAGCAATTCGATGATCCATTTATTGGTACCTATAGGCATAAGCTCAAGCCACACCTCATAGACTTGGGGAATAAATATTTTTGAAACATCATTTTATGCAAGATAGAAGAAAATTGACTTATATTAGCACAGCGTTAAATAAAGACACAATAAAAAGAAGAAAAATAGACTCGAAGTACCTAACAAAGTATTAAAAAAGAACTAAGCGTTTATTTCTCCATTTTTTTGTGTATTTAATTCATCAACATCGTCAGTCTTTGAATTATCGTCATGGCTATTTCTTGGTTTGAGCGGTGACAAATCACCCTTTTCATTTTTCTCTTTTGTAAAACCATTACTTCCAAATACTCTTCTGTTTAACGTAGGACTTAATTGATTATTCTGATCGTTAGCCTTTAATGGGGTTTGGGCATTTGGGGTACTAAACTGAACAAAGTTCCAGAATGCAGGTGATGATTGATTAGTATTAACGCCATTTGCCACACCTAATTTGTTACTCGATGATTTCGAACCTCTTTCAGGGGTAAAAGCTTCTAATGGAGCAATCTTTTTAGGACTCGTGAAGCCTAAAGCAAGATCTGAAGTATTTGTTGGTCCACTTGATACATTTTGAGCATTAGTATTTGTTGTATTTGGTTCGCTGGTTTGATTGTTCGTGGAGGAATTGTAAGAATTTGAATTATTTTCAGTTAGCTGTTGCTGATGGTTATACGAATTCAGACGAGAATGATGTGCTTGTGGGGCGGAGGTTCCCATAGAATGTGTGGATGGAGGAGGTGGCGGTAAATTAAATAAATGATTACCAGAAACCTTTGGTAGTTTCGGAGTTGTGGTATTGATATCCGATAATTGTCTTATTGGTGATGAAAGTTCATTTTTGTTCCCAGGTACCTGTTGAATAGACGAGGAATCGCTCTGGTTTTGATGCATCATATGACTTCCGTACATTAATTGAGGTGGTGGAGGGTGTTGGTAGCCATATGATCGAGGAGGAGGAACCCCGAATGAGCCATTCTGAGGAGGTTGGTTAGCCATATAGGATAAAGGATTGTGTTGCATTGGATTTGGTGGCGCTTGTTGATATTGCATCGGTTGTCCTAATTTTGGTAAAGAATTATCTCTTTGGTGATTAAACGAATTACTTCTAGATGGATCATCTTTTACATAGTATTTTTGGGACTCTGGTAAATTTTGATGAGTCGCAAGATGTAACTGTAACTGTCTAGAAACAGATGAACCTCTTCTTGCTTTCAGCAACGACCCACTTTGAATTTTATTTAAAAAGTCCTCTTTATAAGATTCACTGATTTGCCACTTCATACCCTTACCCGGTTCGTTAGGTCTTCTTGGAACCTTTTCAAATGCTTTATTTAAAGACAAATTATGTCTAATAGAATTTTGCCAACCCGTTTTCGAATATTTATAGTATGCGTAATGAGAGGCTATCCAATTGTATATTTCAGACAATGACATCACTCCATCATCATTAGACAAAATAGCTTGAGTGATCATAGTAGCGTAAGAGTAAGGAGGCTTAATATCCTTTGCCTCTTCCCTAGATAAATCTTGATCTAAATTATTTTGCAAAGAGGTAGCAGATGCTGATGATGGAGATTGAGTCAATTGTGCTTTATCAAACATTTGGAAGCTTTTAACCTGGCTGGATGGATTAATAGGTATTGTGTGTTGCTGGGGAAAATCAGAAATCGACTTTCTCTTTGATTTATTTAAGTTAGCATTATACTTCGCTAAGCATGTGCTTAGCACTTTTTGCAGTATATTTGGAGGAGAGTCCGGTAATATGAACATCATTTGGGTGCCACCGATATCTAATATAGCACCAGAGTGTAACGGCGTCGAGTGATTCTCGCCAAATGGTACCTTCTGACCATCAACTCTGGCACCATTTCTTCCTAAAACCTTCAATTCCCAATACCTTAAATCTAAATTATAAGTAATCATGGCGTGTTGTCTTGAAACAACTTTTGCGGGTCCCAAATCAATGTCAACAAGGGGCTGCGAACTTCCCCCCGGGTTATCAGTATTTCTACCAATAGGTATCGATAATGACTTAACATAGTATGTCCAGTCCTGCCCTGCTATTTTTGCGTATGCCTGTACTTCAGTAGCAAGATTTTTGTCGTTAGCATACGTTAAAGCAACGTTCGTCTTCTCTACAGGGGTCTGTAACGTCGAAATCACGGCGTTAACCATATCAATAGGATCTTCAAAATTTGGTCCCTCGCCTTCATTTAGATCGCCAAGGGTACGTTTCCGAGGTGTAGATGTGCCCGACATGTTCTTTCTTCGTCTTGGTAATTTCACTCGTCTATCCAATTAAATATTTTCCAATATGGTATGATCCACTTTTTCACTTTTGTCAATATATGCAATGCCGCCAATCGATTATTGGAATTCTGGATATGAATATATGTTTATTTGGCTTTTTGGATTCGTTTGTATCCTACTATGGGGTAAACTATTTTTTTCTATCCTTCTTTGTCAACAAGTGAACCCACAATTAAATGTTCCAAATATCACTATTTTTTCAACTTTTCTACACAAAATTCGCTGAGTCAATTGACTTATATTGTCCGTACCTTTCAAATACCTTATCTTGAAAGATATTCGTATAGAATGTATTATTTCACTAGAGAATTAATGAAATTGGTTTTTCGCCCGTTAATTTTTCTGTTTGTTTACAAAACATTTTTTTGTTTTGACTTTATTCCGGATACGACTAATATACAGGGAAACTATACACTATATAAATTTTCAATCAATATCACCAGAGGGTTGATCGTAGTCAATAGGGATGATAAAGGAATCTTGGGCCACTTCAAACCCACGAGCATCAACTGTTTCTTTAGTGATTATGTCGACTATTAAGTCTTCTTCTTCCATTCGTCTTTTATTTAATATATCCTCGTTAATATAATCGAACTCGTCTTCTTTTTCTTCATAGTCTATATTCTCTTCTATTTCTACGAAGTCAGGGGCAAGAGCACTCCACTTCTGGGGGAATTGGATCAGCCACAAGTAGATAGAGCCACTGTCCAAGCCGGTGGAACCCACCGTGCAACGGTGATAATTCCACTTGACATCTATTAATTCTTCGTTACTTCCTTCCAAAATCTTGATAAGAGATCCGAGCGAGGTTTCCCACATGTATAGATCCTGGGAGGATTGACCGAAGGTGGAGGCAATCAAGAATTCGGCGTTGTGGTTGAAGGTTACCAGGTTCCACTGTAAACGGTTGACGACATCCTGGTATTTGTGCTCGACTTCGAATTCCCAGTTGTTGGGGTCTGTTATATTGATCATGTCGGGTAAATTAATCTGGCGGATGATACGATCGGACGAGTTTATGGCCAACTTTCTGCCGTTCGGAGATACCACCAAGTTTTTAATGTTCGAGTTTGCAATTTTGATCGAATGTACCAATTGCAAGGATTCGGTGGAAATAATGTTAAGCCACCCCTTGCTTGTTCCTGTGAAGATGTAGTTGCCATCACCAGGCGTGAATGTGGTCACTAACGTCATATGTTTGTCTTTCTTTTTCTTGCGACTGGCCTTTTCTTCGTCGCTATCATCCACTTGATTCGACTGTTCTTCGTTATCCTCTGCCTGCTGCAATGGCAAGGGAACTGTGCTCAACAGATGCACTTTGATGTCAGATTCTATACTCAAGTCCACGAAAACTGGCGAGTCTTCGTAAAGAGAAGCCGTGAATAAAAAATGATTTTTAGGATGTAACATTGCCAGCCATATGGGCCCGTCGAACTTGACTCTTCGTATAATAGGTCCACCATCCAATTCGTCGCCATCATCTCTATTCACCCGATCCAAATCCCACAAATTGCAGCACCAATCTTGTGACGATGTGAGCAAATATCTGCCACAACTCGACCAACTGATCGAAGACACAGGCCTGGTGTGCCCTCCTTTCTCCAAATGTGCCACTATGCCTCCATTACTCATCAAATCGTAGATTACAATAGACCCATCGCTCAACCCAGATGCTAAGTAATCACCTTTATAATTGAATTGAATTACCACAGAATGTCCATATTGCAATGTATGTGTGAGGGTCTCTGGATACTCCTTAGCTACTGCAAATGGATCTTGTAATGATAAATTCATTACCTTATCTAGTAGATATGAAATTTATTACTTCTTTATACACCAAAAATATATAAATTTCATTTTAACGCGCCGTTAAGTAGCTGAACTATTAACAGATTAACCTAAAGATAAGTCGCCAAGAGGATTACAAACGTAATTGTTGTTTATATTGTCACCCAAGTAATTAATGTCTAATATAATATAGCATATCCAGTGGTTAGAGTGTTAAGGAGGACTTTCATGGTACACTTTCAATATTTAAGCAGATCATACGTATCCTTGGTTGGCATTTTTTTACTACTTCAGTTCCCTAGCCCAATTCAGGGGTCATTTCATTTTTATCTTGACGCTGGGACAAGAAGATGCTTTTACAAAGAACTTGCTCTGGGAACATTGCTAATAGGAAGATATAAGTTGGAGATATTTGATGAGGATACACACGAGTTCTACTCACCGCTAGACAAAATAAATACGGGGATTCTTATTGACGTAGAGGAGAAGTTTGATACAGACCATCGGGTGGTACATCAAAAAGGGTCGCCTAAGGGTCAATTCACGTTCAGTGCTTTGGAATCTGGAGAACATAGAATTTGCTTCACACCAAAGAGCTTTTATAAAAGGAGATGGCTTGATAGTGGCAGCGACGACATGGATGCGTTGAAGGATCTGAAATTCAAAAAGTCTAGGATTATGGTTGATTTTCTGATCCGGGATGGAGAAATATTCGATGCAAAGCATACTCAAACCGTCAACACATTAACAGAACAGATCAATACCATAAATGACAAACTCACTGATATCAGAAGAGAACAGGAATTCATACGAGAGAAAGAGGAACTGTTTCGGGATCAATCTGAGCGCACTTGTGAACGTGTTGTTAGGTGGCTGATAGTTCAGCTCGGTGCTTTAATAATTACTTGTGTGTATCAAATGATTGCATTGCTGACTTTTTTTGTCAAGGAAAAGATTTCATGATTTCTTGCATCCAACTCCACTAAGAAATTTCTACTCTGACTAGATTAAAATTATATACATAGGTTTTAGTTTTTAGAAGTTCATAGTATTACATTCATATTTTGCATTAAATTCTTTTTGATAACGAAATCATTTATATGCAAAATGCGTCCCATCAATTTTATAATAGGTATAGATTTAGCTAGTCAGAATACATAAGTTGAATCTATGAGAATAACATTGAGAAAAGTATCGTAATGGATTCTATAAGTGGTGAACATTCAGATGATAATTTATCTCAGTCACCATCAAATCTTGGAGTACCGGCTACTCCTAGACAAAACATCTTATCACCTAGTATAAGCGCCGATTCTACCATATCGAATGGTTCAACACCAATTAGAAAGCATAGGTTCGATGACAGAGCCCAAACATGGGTAAGTTTAGCATTAAAATCACATAAGCATGAATCCTCGAGAGAGCTGTCTCCTTTTGATTTGACAAATTCAACTATATCAGATAAATCAGAAGATGTGCTTAAATTGACCGATACACCTAAAATTACAGAAATCATCAATTCGACCAGTTTTAGAGCTACATATGGGTCAGTTGTGTGCATAGAACCATCGAATATATATATTGCCGTTGGAACTGAAAAGGGGTTTGTTGTGGGATTCAACTACCACCAAGGGGTGGAGTATATATTGACTAGAGAAGAGGAACGTAAGGATAACAAGGAACATTTTGAATTAGGATCTGTAAGCGCAGTTTCATTTTCATCTGACTCTCTGTACATAGCTGCTGGGTATTCTCGTGGGGGGATTATTACTTGGAAATTGACGTCAACATCAATTACGGCGGATGGATACATCAGGCCTTATTACATTATAGAGCCTACAACTTTGGAAAACAGATTCACTAAGAATGTGCAGGGCCATTTGCATAATAATCGAATAAACAGTGTTTGTTTTATTGGTTCTCTGCATTCTCAGTTCATTTCTTCTGATGTATCAGGATTGGTGTTTTACCACCATGGATTCAAAAAGTTTATGAAGAAGTATTTTCAAACGCAGAAGCTTCTAGGCAGAAATGATGCTAATATCGTTGATAATGGTGGAAGGTATATTATCTATGGTTGCGATATGCTTCCGTTGGGTTCTGCCCATCAAATAACAGACTACTTGGGATTAGTTGCGGTAATGACTGGCAATGTTTTGGCAATTGTATCCGTTTTGTCATTGAATAACCCAAGCATGCTTAACATGAAAGTTCACTTTAAGATAGGTAGAGTAAAACATGCCAGTAATCTGGGAGCATCAGAAGGATGCTTAAGTTGGTATCCGTGTATGAAAGTTGGAGGGAATAAACTACAAAATGCCAAATTAGCATATGCTTGGAATAATTCTGTAACCATTTTAGAAGTGGATAATAATTCTCTTCCAGAAAATCTAATGCAAATGTTAAGTGATCTTAAGGATAAAGATAAAGCAATTCCAACATTACCAATAAACAGAACCTGTAAGTGGACATCTTCCAACAAATACAACTCAATTGTATCAATTAAATGGATTTCTGATAGCATTTTATTTGCTTATATACAAGAATCTTCAAGTTCTGAGTTAACTTTGACAGCATTGCATTACACATCGGAAAATGGCAAGACGAGTTTGTTACCTGTGGGCCAGAATAGTTTACAAGGACTAAAAATTGTGTCAAGCAAGATATTAATTGAATCAAACAATAGAGATCCACGTTCTCCGAGGAATGAAAGTTTCATCAACTTATTTAGTACTTCGATAAAAGCATTTAAAAATAGATTGTTGGTATTAGTAGATGATGATAACGATAAGAAAATACTTATAGGACGACTGATAAGCTGGGCTGATAAACTACTTGATTTGTTAGCACTGAATGAGTATTCTAAAGCACTTTTAACTGCGAATGACTTTTATAATTCCAAGAATAGTGGTCAGCTTGTTTTGGCTGGTTTACCAGAGAATCAAGATTTAAGACGTGAAATGTTAAGGCCTTATTTGGTAAATATTATGAAAGAGTCGATTAATAATATTTTTGGTGACAAGGGTACTGATTATGGATTCCATCTTGCAATTTATTTTGATATTGTTTCTTATCTATATAAAGACTGTGAGGGTTTTTCTGATGAATTGTATTATATTTTGGAGACGATATTTGAAGTATTAGATGATCAGTCCTTGTTTTTTGATACAATTGAATTTTACATTTTATCAGGAAAAATATTGACATTACCACCATTAATTTTAAAAAGGTTGGTAGAACATTATTCGCTGAACAAAAAGGGTGATTTACTAACTGAGATGATATGCATATTGGATATGAAAACATTGGATATTGATTTAGCGATCCAATTATGTAAAAAATATAAATTACGGGACTGCCTAATATATATATGGAATTTTCTATTAGGTGATTACTCAACTCCATTCGCTGACTTCATTAAAGATATAAGTGACCTAGCTAATAGTACTGATGATGAAAAAAATGATTGCTTAAATGTGTTTTCTTATATGTCGTATATATTGACAGGAAGACAATATCCTACTGAGAAATTTATAGATGTATCTCAAGAGAATTCAGCGAAAGAGAGCATTTATAAACTTTTATTCAGTGCTACACTGATCAGATATCCAAATGATGATTCGGATGTGTTGATCGCCGGTAGTGAAGAAACGATTTTTCCATATCTATATTCCTTATTGCAATTTAATTCGTTTGAAATGTTTTCCACTATAAACGAATTTTTTGAAGACTCTATCTTGAATGATGATAATAATTCGCACCTAACTAGACAGTACATTATTGAAGCATTGTTTGATATTTTTGAAGTAAATGACCTCAGCTTCACTGATTTTGACCGTTGCCAACTAGCAATCTTTGTTGCTAGAAATTATCCAAAATACTCTCAATTTATAAGACTATCTGAATCCGTATTGAATAAAGTTATTGAAGATTTATGCACAGTTACTGATCAGGAGATAAAGTGTGATTGCGAGCTAGCATTACAAAGTTTGTTGCCTTTATATGAACCAGATGGAGAGTTATTCTTATTGGACAAGCTTAAATCGGCTCGATTTTATAGTGTTCTAATAAGTATTTATAGATCAAAGGGGAAATATTCTAATGTATTGAAAATATGGTTGGAGAAATCACAGCAAGAATCAACGGAAAATGATAGCTTAAGTGGAATTCTTGAAGAGGCATTTATATATACAAAATCTCAAACGGACAGAATGGAACTTGTCACATTTATCAGACAAAACTTTCAACAGATCTTGATACTTAATATCCCAGACTTTGTTATATTGATCAACAAACACTACCTGTCTTTGCATTCAGAAGTTTTAAATATTCAAAGTGATCAATGTTTTTTCGAATATATACAAGTCCTATTAGATATTGTTGACTTGATGACGATGAATATCGAAAATATGCCCCAAATAGTTGGAAGATATATGAAGGTCCTATGCGACTATAATCCAAGCGAGTTATACTCATTTGTGGAAACTGCCAATTTTATTTTGGCTCGAGATATGAATGAGTTTGAACTGGTTAAAAGTAGCTTTCAACAAAGAGGCTTTATTGAGCCACTAACAGTATTGTTGATCTCACAACTGAAGTATGAAGAGGCGTTGAACGAGCTTCTCCAAAGTATGAATCTTATTATCGATTCCGCCATTTCTAATGAGAAGCAGGAGGACTTACTGCCTAAGTTTGCGAGCTGCTTGGAAAGAGCTATGGATATCTGCGGAATCGAAGACACTTACGTTGAACATGATGGTGCTATGTACCTCAATGAAAGAATGTGGCTAAAGCTAATCGAAAATTGCGTTAAAATGTCCAATACCGCTGCTGCTGAGAATGTTAAGTCAGACAATAATGCATTTCAAAATGTGTCCCAATTCTTAGATAGATGTATCCATGACTGTTTCAAGAGAATAAGTGAATCCAAACTCAATCCAAGTGTAAGTGAGAATGAAAAGAAAGAAAAATCGTTCCTAGTCATTTTCAATCGTTTTTTGGAAAATTCTATGAAGGATTCTAAAATGACTACCATATCTAACATACGGGATATATTAAGAGAGGTATTTATATCATATTCTTATGAAAACGAAATTTTACTGATTTCTTTGAAAATGTTGAATGAGAGTATTCGTGAAAGTTTGGACTTGATTAAGCTAGATAATCTAAAGGCTTGGTCAATCAAATCTAAATCCTGTACTTCATGTGGAAAGCCAATGTGGGGTCCTGATGTTTCCAAAGAGCATTTTATGGCTTGGGAGGACCGCCAGCGAGAAGCATTGATTCTAGCCCAGGGGCTTGGGAACACTGTGATCGGTGCGCCATTCAACAATCAGAAATATCATAATTTGGAATTAATTTTTTTCAAGTGTAATCATGGATACCACATGTCATGCTTAGAAAACCTAGGTGGTAAAGGATCAAAATCTTGTGTTCTTTGCCTACAATAGTCGTTTTACTGAGTGACAAAGCACATCTATTTTTAATTTCCTGAAAATTGCGACACTTTTCAAAATACGCCTAAATAGGATATTATGTAAACAAATATAGAACGTTTTGCATTGTAGTACTAATAAGTATGTTTGAATTTGGAAAACTAATAGGCCAATTTTCCGTAAATGGCTTATATTTCAGTCAATGAGTCTTTTCTAAAGGGATAGAATTTTGGATCAAGCCTTTAATTTTAGTTTATTTCAAGGCTTTTATTTTTTTTTCTTCTCCCAAGTCTTCGATATAATCTTGAACTACGGTGTAAAAGTAAAATAGCTATTTATAAAAATGAGTGGGATTAACAAAGCCGATATTAGCGATGATGATGATTTATTCGGAGATGAATCCAGAAGATCATCGTTTGAACAAGGTGACTACGAGGAACAACCTGTTTCCAACCCATTCTACTTTAATCAATTTCAGCCCCACCAGCAATACTCGGCGCCCCAATCACAAAGTGGAAACTTACAAGTAATGCAACCTCCTATGCATGGTCACCAGCATCAAGGTAGCGCCAGTACGTTCGTTGACGAGGATAATGATTATTTCACAGAGAAGCTAGGAAGCGAAGCATCGCTTAGTACTTCAAGTACCTTTCCTAAAAGATCGAAGACAGTTGCATTTAGAGAAGCTGAGCCAGAATATCCCCCAATTGCATATAGTCCAGGCAAAACTATGCACCATTATGCCGAACCTCTTCATTACGATATGGAAAGAGTGGATACGTATGATTTTGATAATCCTTCAATGGCTTTAAGGCCATATTCACAGGTATTGACCTTTACGGGTGACGATTACATGATAAACCCACTTGAAGATGCTGATGACGATGAAGACCTCGACCCATTTGGAGACGATGAATCATTATTTCTGGAGACCGGAGAAGAAATTATTAGAAGAGGAACTACCATCAAAAGAGCGAACACAACTTTAAGCAGAAAAAATACTTTGAAGAGAAAAAACTCTATGGAAACTGGATTATCTTTGGTTGACGAGGAGGATGATTTTAAGCCCAGATTAAATTATACAAAAACCATTAAGAAAGCTAAGTTAGTTAACGGAAATTATGTAATTGATGCGCCAGCTCCCAAGTCTTTGTTAGATACGTATGGCAGGAAAATCACTGATAGTGGGAGGGAAATGTCTTTTATGAGATATACTGCTGTCACCTGTGGACCATCAAACTTCATGAATTTCAAATATAACATCAGGCAAGCATTATACTCTCCGCCGCGTGAAACTGAAATAATGGTTTGTATTACAATGTATAACGAGGATGAAATATTATTAGCTCGTACTCTTAAAGGTATATTTGACAATATCAAAAATTTGACCAACAGAAATGATTCAAAATGGGGTGATGATTCATGGAAGAAGATTGTTGTATGTATTATCAGTGATGGTAGAGTAGATTTGAACAAGAGGTCTCAAGAACTCTTGACTGCATTGGGAGTATACCAAGATGGATATGCAAAATCGAAGATTAACGATAAATCAGTCAAGTCCCACATATATGAATATACATCAACTGTTGGGATTGAAACTATCAACGATAAAATTCATTTCTGCACAAATTCCAGCCCAGTCCAATTCTTGTTTTGTTTGAAAGAGAAAAACACAAGAAAAATTAACTCACACAGATGGTGCTTTCAATCTTTTGCTCCTATCTTAAATCCGAAGGTCATCATGTTGTTAGATTGTGGTACCAAACCATCAAAGGATGCGTTTTATCATTTATGGAAATCGTTTAATGATCCAAATGTTGCTGGCGCTTGTGGTGAAATGAGAGCAGCTTTGGGTCCAAATAGAAAACACTTAGCTAATCCTCTTGTCGCTGCCCAGAATTTTGAATATAAAATATCGAATGTATTGGATAAGCCTATGGAATCAGTTTTCGGGTTTATATCTGTCTTACCAGGTGCTTTTTCTGCTTATAGATATGAAGCATTATTGAACGTCAATGGTGAAGGCCCCCTCGAAAAATATTTTAAGGGAGAATTTTTACATCAAGAGACTCAAGTTAATGAAGATGAAGAAGATGATGAAAAAACTTTGAAAGAAAAAAATTTCCAAGAAGCAGGTATTTTTACTTCGAATATGTATTTAGCCGAAGATAGAATTTTGTGCTTTGAATTGGTAGCTAAGAAGAACCATAATTATGTTTTGAGATACGTGAATGAAGCAAAGGCTGAAACAGATGTTCCTGAGATGATTGATGAATTTGTATTACAAAGAAGGAGATGGCTTAACGGATCCCTTTTTGCAGCTGCTTATGCAGTATTTCATTGGACAAAAATATGGAAATCCAATCATTCATTATTAAGGAAATTGTTTTTGCAATTAGAATTTTACTATCAGTTGATTACATTATTGGTTTCATGGTTTTCAATTGCATCGTTCTTTTTGGTGTTTAGAATCTTAACTGCCAACTTAGGAGCCAAAGATATGGATTTTGACGTAGGAAAATATTTAGCTGTTGTATTTCTATGGTTCTATGTTGGGTCTGTTGTCTGTACTTTTGTTTTGTCATTTGGTAATACACCAAGAGGCACCAGGAAGTTTTATCTTGTCATTGCATGCATTTTCGCTGTCCTAATGATATATATGTTGTTCGCTGCAATTTTCCTTGCCGTCCACACGGTCCAAGCAGCATTGGAGAGTCATAAAGACGATTTCACAGCCTCTTTGCTATTTACTGACACTAAATTTAGAGACTTGATCGTCTCCGTTGCTTCAACGTATGCTTTATACTTCATTGCATCCTTGATGTATGGCGAGCCAAGTTTCATGGTTACTTCATTCATACAATACCTTTTGCTTTCCCCAAGTTATATCAACATTTTGAATATCTACTCATTCTGTAATATTCATGATGTTTCATGGGGTACAAAAGGAAGTGTACAAGCTAAAGATTTAGGAAGTGCTAAATCTGCTGACAATGATAAAGAGAATATTGTCACTATCGTTCCTGGTGTAAGTGAAGAATTAAATGAGACTTATTTGAATACATTAGAGAGTTTAAGAACTCTTCCACCTCCTCCACTCGAAATAAACAACAAAAAACAAAAAGACGACTCATACTATGCATTCATTAGAACTATTACGGTTTTAGTTTGGATGCTTACTAACGCCATTTTAATTGCAATTGTTTTAGAGGCTGGTGGAGTAGACACGTTAACCAGCAGTGATTCTACATCAATTAGTGGTAACTCCGAGATCTTTTTGACAATTATTTTATGGATTGTTGCCGGTTTAGCAGCATTTAGATTCTGCGGTAGTTCAATTTACTTGATCTTGAAAGTGTTTAGACCTCTTAAATGGAGGATAAGAGCTAAAAAGGCTGCCAGAAAACAAAACTATTAGTATACATATCTAATATCTATCATGTTGATAGTTCAGTTAACAGGTACTGAATTTAAATTTATTCATTAATTATATATTTTATCTAAATTTCGCATTTTTTGTTAAGTCCTACTTTGACTTGTAGCAAGCATTGTGTTCATCAATGCTAAGCTTAAAGACTCAAGGAGTTCTACCTATCAACCTTGAACATGTTTCCTACTAATTAATTATGCATATCGATGAAAAGGTAAAGCATGATTGGAGAACTTTAAATACGAAAGAACGTTTTCCTGCTATAACCTTAAATCAAATGCAGGATGAAATTACTTACTCTTCAGGGCTGATAATATTAATTTCATCTGCCTATTTGAACTTTTCACTTTACATTCATTGGTCGTATCTACACTTTGAGCCCCTCTAGTAGAAATATGACAATGGCTAAACCTTAAAGTTTTTCTTGTTTCTTTTTAAGTAAGTATTAAAGAGACCGAAGTTGAGGTACTTCTCCGTTAGCGCTGTCATCTACACAACAGGTGATTTTTCATGCTACTTGCAGTAGACTGGAGGTCTTTCAAAAATTGATCTTCAAACTTTATAATTATATTCTAAGGTCTAATTAACGATTTAGACTTGACAAGCGACTGTTTTAGCTATCCCTTTGTTAAAGCCTAGATTGTGTGCGCACTCTATTAATATACCGAAACGAGAATTTAGACAATAGACTCCATCACTTATTCAAAATTATGTAACATATTTATAACTACAATTTGATATAGATGTATGAATGCTCTTGTTGCTTCAGGAACGAAAGCCTTTCATATGTTCATGTACAAACCAATACTATTATTCTACGGACTAGGAATCACGGCCTAAGTAGCGCCGACCGTTTCAGGTGGGTACCGAGTATTCCCTGACGGTAACATAATTATTCTATCCGTTATTGTACAACGTTCCATCGGCTATCGGAGTCAAATCGCCGAGTATGCCAATATCCGCACACAGAAGCAGCCCACAGTACTTGGGAAATCAGAAGTGCCGATACTCCAACTATGACACAATCAGCATGGCAGACCTATTGTGTGTTTCCAAGGTATCCAATCATTTTCCAAGTATTTTGGCCAAGACGTGCTCACCAGAGTATTTTCGAAAAATGCCTTTAGGTACCCCCTCAGTAGAAAAACAAACACCTACGCAGTGCCAAAAATGCCCTCAAGATTACACAATTAAGAATCTCCAATAATGCTCCAAGCCTCTCCAATATCCCTAGGTCTGAAACCCTTCTAAATTAATCCATATTGTCCAATCGTCTATCATCCTGCGAGCGTACGTACTCTTTATCTATTTCCACTCTTATTCCCGCAGTGGATCCACACCTGCAGCATTAATCGTCCAATCGGTATGGTATTACTCTTTTCCACCAATCTCACGCGGACAAATTGGGCGCCGATGGGAATTTTGACAGATAATAGAAAAAGTAGTGGGTGCGTCCAAATGACGCACCGACCAATGGTAGCCCATGGGGATAGAATCAACAGACGCTAGCCGACCCTTACCCGACCTCCAGCCCATCGCTCCACCAGCAAAATGCCGCCATAACCGCACCCTCGCTTAGAGCACCAGTACCTACATCTGCGGCTCTGCTATAGCACTCGCTCACACTCCTTTTTGCATACTTTACTCGTTACCGTTGTACTGTTGTCTTAGTTCTCTAACTCTATCCCCAACAGCATTCCTGTGGGTATCTATTACTTGAAACTCGTAAGCTAATGACTCGGACTCTTTCATCAATTATCTACTGCCTCTTATGATGCTTCCCCAGTCGCTGGACAACGCTGCTCCTTTCGACATTTGTCCACAAGACCCTTCTATTGTCCTGGCCCGTACAAGAAACTACCACCAGCGACGACGTACGAATCGCCCACCAGCCCTCTGTAACACCCGCTGTATCCACCACTTCCACCACTTCCACCACTTCCACCACCGCTGCCAGCACTTATTGCCGGAACAATCGGTCCTTTCGGGTGTCCCACTAGGCCAGGGGCCGATACCCTAATTTGTAACCTCAGTCCAGCCATAACTGTTTTGGTCCATCGTGCTTATTAGCGGCATGCAGCAAATATTATCATTTCGTCTAATCGGGTATTTCACTGGCTTATCGGGACAATTTTATCGGCACGATTTGCAGGGCTCAAACGTAATCATACCGGCATTTTCTTTCAATTTGGCAGTTCGTAAACATTATCCAGGCCAATTCAAAAGAAATAAATTTTTTTCCGGTTATAGCACGTAGCCCCATTTGTTAGTGTTTTGGTTTCTGATTAAAAATTCCCTCAAAAAATTTTTTCGCACTATCTATGCGTCTAATCCAGAATTGGACGAAAGCCTAATCCAGCCGTATATAAATAAGTAGCAAAATCCTCATGGCGGTATATTACAATCCTCTTTTCTCTTTTTTTTGAGTCTATTAGGTTATACTTTTCTACGTTTTTATTATTTTATTTACGCTAACACAAATTAAGTAATTTAATTGGTTTTTTTGGCTTTGTTTTGGTTTAAATAAAATTAGTAATTAGATAAAAACGAAAATGAGTGGTACTGAACCAACTAACGAAAAGGTCGACAAGAATGTGTCTGACGATGAAGATGAAGATATTGATCAATTGATCCTTGACTTACAATCTCACAAGGCTCTTGATGAAGAAGAAGATGAAGTCGTTGACGATGCCACTTTCAAGGCTGTCCCAGAAGAGTTATTAAAAACCGACCCAACCACCGGTTTAACTTCTGACGAAGTCACCAAGAGAAGAAAGAAGTTCGGTTTGAATCAAATGTCCGAAGACAAGGAAAACTTAGTCTTGAAGTTCATTATGTTCTTCGTTGGTCCAATTCAATTCGTTATGGAAGCCGCTGCTATTTTAGCTGCTGGTTTAGAAGATTGGATTGATTTCGGTGTTATCTGTGCTTTGTTATTATTGAACGCTTTCGTTGGTTTCATTCAAGAATACCAAGCTGGTTCTATTGTCGATGAATTAAAGAAGACCTTAGCTAACTTTGCTTTCGTTATCCGTGATGGTCAATTAGTCGAAATTGCTGCTAGTGAAGTTGTTCCAGGTGATATTTTACAATTGGAAGACGGTACCGTTATTCCAGCTGATGGTAGAGTTGTTTCTGAAGATTGTCACTTGCAAATTGATCAATCTGCTATTACTGGTGAATCTTTAGCTGTTGAAAAGAGATTTGGTGATGCCACTTACTCTTCTTCTACTGTTAAGACTGGTGAAGCTTTCATGATTGTTACTGCTACTGGTGACTCTACCTTTACTGGTAGAGCTGCTGCTTTAGTTAACAAGGCCGGTGCTAGTGGTGGTCACTTCACTGAAGTCTTGAACTCCATTGGTACCTTATTATTGGTTTTAGTCATTGTTACCTTGTTACCTATCTGGGTTGCTTGTTTCTACCGTACTGTTAGAATTGTTCCAATTTTAAGATACACTTTAGCCATTCTTATCGTTGGTGTCCCAGTTGGTTTACCAGCTGTTGTTACCACCACCATGGCTGTTGGTGCTGCTTACTTAGCTAAGAAGCAAGCTATTGTTCAAAAATTATCTGCTATTGAATCCTTGGCTGGTGTCGAAATCTTATGTTCTGATAAGACCGGTACTTTAACCAAGAACAAGTTATCTTTGCACGAACCATACACTGTTGAAGGTGTTGAAGCCGACGACTTAATGTTGACTGGTTGTTTAGCTGCTTCTAGAAAGAAGAAGGGTTTAGATGCTATTGATAAGGCTTTCTTAAAATCTTTGATTGACTACCCAAGAGCTAAGGCTGCTTTAACCAAGTACAAGCTTATTGAATTCCAACCATTCGACCCAGTCTCAAAGAAGGTTACTGCTATTGTTGAATCACCAGAAGGTGAAAGAATTATCTGTGTTAAGGGTTCTCCATTATTCGTTTTAAAAACTGTTGAAGATGATCACCCAATTCCAGAAGATGTCCACGAAAACTACCAAAACACTGTTACTGAATTTGCTTCTAGAGGTTTCAGATCTTTAGGTGTTGCTAGAAAGAGAGGTGAAGGTCACTGGGAAATCTTAGGTATTATGCCAGTTATGGATCCTCCAAGAGATGATACTGCTCAAACTATTAACGAAGCTAGAAGATTAGGTTTAAGAGTCAAGATGTTAACTGGTGATGCCGTTGGTATTGCTAAGGAAACTTGTCGTCAATTAGGTTTAGGTACTAACATTTACGATGCTGACAGATTAGGTTTATCCGGTGGTGGTGACATGGCCGGTTCTGAAATTGCTGATTTCGTTGAAAATGCTGATGGTTTCGCTGAAGTTTTCCCACAACACAAGTACAATGCTGTTGAAATTTTACAATCTAGAGGTTACTTAGTTGCCATGACTGGTGATGGTGTTAACGATGCTCCATCTTTGAAGAAGGCTGATACTGGTATTGCCGTCGAAGGTGCTACTGATGCTGCCAGATCTGCTGCTGATATTGTTTTCTTAGCCCCAGGTTTATCTGCTATTATTGATGCTTTAAAGACTTCCAGACAAATTTTCCACAGAATGTACGCTTATGTTGTCTACCGTATTGCTTTATCTTTACACTTGGAAATTTTCTTAGGTTTATGGATCGTTATCTTAAACCAATCTTTGTCTATTGATTTAGTTGTCTTTATTGCTCTTTTCGCTGATGTTGCTACTTTAGCCATTGCTTACGATAATGCTCCATACGATCCAAAGCCAGTTAAGTGGAACACTCCAAGATTATGGGGTATGTCTATTGTCATTGGTATTGTTTTAGCTATCGGTACTTGGATTACTTTAACCACCATGTTTATGAAGAAGGGTGGTATTGTCCAAAACTTCGGTGGTCTTGACGGTATCTTATTCTTACAAATTTCCTTGACTGAAAACTGGTTAATTTTCGTTACCAGAGCTCAAGGTCCATTCTGGTCTTCTGTTCCATCCTGGCAATTAGGTGGTGCTATCCTTATTGTTGATATCATCGCCACCTGTTTCACCTTATTCGGATGGTGGTCTCAAAACTGGACTGACATTGTTACCGTTGTTAGAACCTGGATTTTCTCCTTCGGTGTCTTCTGTATCATGGGTGGTTTATACTACTTAATGTCCGGTTCTGAAGCATTCGACAACATCTGTAACGGTAGACCAGCCAAGCCACAAAAGGACAACAGATCTGTTGAAGATTTCTTAATGTCCATGCAAAGAGTCTCTACTCAACACGAAAAATCTACTTAGATTTGTTAACTACTGTGTTCCCCTTTTTGTTATTCATTGATAATTCATTCCCGTGTCTTGTCATTTGAAAACAAATTGCACTATATGTTAATTTCTCATCCGTTAGTTTTGACTAAAGACTATTTTTATATTCGCTTTTTTTTCCCGAACATTTTTATTTTGATTCCCTTATTCCCGTCATATTTTTAAATTAATTTTAATTTTTTCGTATTATAGTTAAATAATAGATAATAATATTTAAAAAAAATCTAATTGTAGACTTGTTCCAGGACTAGCAAGAGAAGCAGTGTGTGACATGCTTATGGTCAGTGAGTTCCGAATTGTAAGTTCCAAGACCCATATATATTGGACATGAAAGGTACAGAACAATAATGGATTTGATGCAGCTCATATACTTGTTATCTACTGTATGTACTGTAGAGCTATTTATCAGCTAACGGCTAGCGGAGGACACGTTAATTAAGTCAGTTTAATTAATTCGAAGTTGTTATACGTGGTGGATCGTATTGGTTATGAGCGTCCGACATTTTTACAAATTTTCAACAAAAAATTTAACCACAAAAAGTCAGTTCGTACCCAGATCAAAATGGGTGTTGAAAGAAATTGACAATCCTCTTTTGAGTTTTTAAGTATATTTTGAGGTTCATTTTTATAACTGAAGTCGAGTAGAGAAGTAATAGCCTTTCACTATTTTGCATACTTTTCACTTGTCTTATACTTGGCATTATACGTTGATTAGAGATCATTTTGTCCCAGTGTGCATTCATAGAGAAGATATTCAGATATTTTCAGAAATAAGCAGAGACCTAGACTTATTTAAAGTGTTTTCGGTTTTCGTGACTTAAAATATCATTGTGAACTAGTTAAATCCATATTTAAAAGATAAAAACTAAAAAAAATCCCACCTTGTATTCTAGAGTTTTTTCAACTTGCATTATATTTCCATTTATATCATAAACTAATTTACTAATGACTACCAATTTGCAATCTCGGTCGGCATCAGTTTCAAACCTGGGTGACTCCGAAGAGCCAAGCTCATTTTTGCCCGGTAAGAGTGGCGCCTCAAAGAATGTTGGGAATAATTTAAGATCGGCATCGATTGGATCAAGCTTTTTCAATAAAGATGCTTCCAATTTTTTCAGTCCTAAGGACGCTGCCAACACAACGTCTAGCTCAATGGATGATGAGTTTATCAAGGAGGCGAACGAGAATCCGTCAAACCCTCCAACATCGAGAGATTTGGATATTGTTGATGCGTTAGGCACCCTTAACTTAGATGAAGATTTTGAATTGGCAAATAAAGATTCCACCACCATTAAAGAAAAAAAGGAGACACAAACCTCCAATGAAGCTACCAAACAAAGAGACACTCCTACTTCCAACACTCCATTCCAACATGCTCAATTCTTGTATGCGGGCAATGGAAACACTAAAGATGTGAATAATAATTACCATCAACAGTTTTATTCGCAGTACCCAGCACACCAGGGTTCTTTGACTCCAAACTCGTCGATTGGCGCCTTTGTTCCCTCAGCATTTGGTCATGTTAATACACCTTCTAGTACATGGAGCAACACATTTATTCCTTCATCTGCACCTCCATTTGCATATGGGAATAGCAATGCGACCAGCGCCAATGCATTAAATGTGAAACCATTTGAACTTCCTGATGATGGAAAATCGAAGGATACGGCTGCTAATGGCGAATCCGTAATTCCAGGATTACACCTTCCATTTACAACTACTCCACCTCCATTGGATACTTTTGGAGGGGTTTTGAACTCGCAAATACCTTTTGGTGCTAATGTCCCTATAGGCATGGAATATGGATTCCAGGAGGGTTATAAATTAGCCGAGGGAGGCTCGTCTGAAAGTGAAGTTGAAAGTTCCGTTCCATCTGATAGGACCAAGACCTCTTCCAACCCTCAACAATTCATGCAAGGGTCCCTTCGTATGGATGGTGCACAGACTGCTGCTGTTAGTGACTATCAAACGATCGTAGGAAATGAGAGTTCTCATAACCACAATCAATTTAACAATTTGCCTGATAATATAAACTTTCCTTTGTTAAATGTTGGTCAAATGGTTCCACCCTCAGCTCAACCAGGCACTCCTAACATGTGGAATCAAATTCCAATGAATTATAATTCGAACATGAACCAGCAACAACAGCCATTTGTGAACAACAGGGTCCCACAAAACCACGGTATTACAAGTCAAGGAGTGAATGGAGGCCGTTTCAACAACAATGGTAATAACAACAATAACCATAACCGTCGTAATCATTATAATTCAAATGATGGTATGAATGTTCATCGTAAAATGCATATAAATAACAAAAGAAAGGGTGATGATGCCTCGAAGTATACAAATGCAAAATTAGAAGACTTCACAGGTCAAATATACTCGTTGTGCAAGGATCAACATGGATGTCGTTTCTTACAACGTCAGTTAGATTTAGGCCGCGAAGCTGCATCTAATCCAAGTGCCGACTTAGAAAACAACCAGATATTAACTAATGATATTGCTGCAACTATGATCTTTAATGAGATCTACTTGAAGATTATTGAGCTAATGACTGACCCGTTTGGAAATTATCTTATTCAGAAGCTATTCGAAAATGTATCAGCCGACCAGAGGATTATTTTAGTCAAAAATGCTTCTCCAGAATTCATTAGGATTGCTTTAGACCCTCACGGTACCCGTGCATTGCAGAAGTTGATTGAATGTATTACAACTGAAGAGGAATCACAATTGATTATAAACTCTTTGTCTCCTCGCATTGTAGCACTTTCAAGGGATTTGAACGGTAACCATGTTGTTCAGAAATGTTTGCAGAGATTGAAGCCTGAAGAGAATCAATTTATATTTGAAACTGCTTCGTTACATTGTAATGAAATTGCAACTCATAGACATGGCTGTTGTGTTTTACAAAGGTGTTTAGATCATGGTAATCTTGCCCAGCGTAAGCAATTATCATTGAAAGTTGCAGAAAATGCCACAAATTTATCATTGGATCCATTTGGTAATTATGTTGTACAATATGTATTATCTAGAGGTGACGATGAATCGATTAGAATAATTTTAGACCATATTAAGAAAAATGTTGTTTCGTTATCGTTGCACAAATTTGGCTCTAATGTTATTGAAAAATCTTTAAGAATTAATAAATTGACTGACAGCTTAATTGAAGTCTTATTATTAAACAAAGACAGATTTAGTGAGATGTTAAATGATGCATTTGGTAACTATGTTCTTCAAACAAGTTTGGACGTGGCTAATGCTAGAGACTTAGGCAAGTTATCCCAGGCATTACAACCGTTATTACCAAACATCAAAAACACCCCTCATGGAAGAAGAATTATGATTAAAATTCAAAACATCTTATAGATGATATGTAAAACACCCAGTGAAATAGAAGAGAACAAATTGTATTTTAGTTTGTATATTAACTTTATTTTAATCTTCATATTTTGTTTATATTATATTTGTATATATAAAACTCATATTATTAATATTATAAATACTTATCCAAATGATTTTTGTAATGGTCTAGTAGTTACTGTAGGTACTATTGGTCAATGACGATCAAAGAATCAGTATTAGAGAGAAATGAATACAAAATGCTTCTATGGCGAGACTTATATATATGATATACATCTCTATGATAATATCATCTAATAAGAAGTAAATAGACCTACTAGTTAAAAAATTTGTTGCATAGTGTTATTTTACGAGGCCTTGTTCGTTTAGTGCTTGAATATTTTGGTTGCTCGCTTAACCTAATTATTTTTCAATGTTGTTTTGATCTGTTTAGCAAAGAAAAAATCGATCATCATTTGGATTGTTTTATTCTTTTCTAGAGATTGTTAATAAATAAATTCTTGTCGAAATGTCAAGTGATGAAGATATAAACACCCCATTGGTAGAAGAAAGAAGAGAAGTCAAACCAGGATACCTCCCAAAGGAAGAAATTGAGTGGGAGTTTGGGGGACCAGCTGGTGCGCTTGGTATGATGGTTGGATTTCCACTTTTAATGTATTACATGTGGATTAGTGCCCAATTCTATGATGGTAAACCAGCCTGGCCAGCAGAAGATCAAACATGGAAAGAGTTTGTTACTGGAGATTTATTTCAGTATTTTGTCAAGTACGGGATACCATCTTTCAAGTCTTGGTTTATTTTCACTTTTTTTATGTTGGTTCAAGCTGGATTTTACTTAACCTTGCCAGGTATTTGGACTAAAGGTCAGCCATTGACCCATTTAAACAATAAACAGTTGCCATATTACTGTAATGCCGTTTGGTCGTTCTACACTTCTGTTGCCATAGCTCTCGTGTTACATTTCACTGGAGTTTTCAGATTGACCTATATTTTGGTACATTTTGGTGAAATTATGACCACTTCCATTGTGTATGGTTTGACATTACCAGTCATCTTATACTTAGTATGTCTTCATGTTACCGGTGATTATCATCGTATGACTGGAAACCATATTTATGATATTTTCATGGGAGCACCTTTAAACCCAAGAATTGCTAAGTACTTGGATCTTAAGATGTTTTTTGAAGTTAGAATCCCATGGTTTATCTTATTCTTCTTATCCTTAGCATTGAATTTAAAACAGATTGAAGAATACGGCTATGTTTCTCCACAGGCCTTTTTTGTTTTATTGGCTCATTGGTTATACGCCAATGCATGTGCAAAAGGTGAAGAGTTAATTGTTCCAACCTGGGATATGGCATACGAAAAATTCGGGTTTATGTTACTTTTCTGGAACATTGCTGGTGTTCCATTTACTTATTGTCATTGTACTTTATATTTGGCTTATCACAATCCAAAGGAGTACCAATGGTCAATAGGATACAATATTGCCATCTATGTTATCCTCTTAGTTGCATATTACTTCTTCGACACTGGTAACCGTCAAAAGAACAGTTTCAGAAGACAAATGGCCGGTAACACTTCTATTCGTAAGACTTTCCCATATTTGCCTTATTCTGATTTAGAAAACCCTAAGTACATTGAGTGTGCCAATGGTTCCTACTTGCTTACTGATGGTTGGTATGTATACGCACGTAAAATGCATTACACTGCTGATTATACTCAAGCTCTTACTTGGGGTTTAATTTGTGGTTTTGCTTCACCATTCCCTTGGTTTTTCCCATGTTTTTTCTTTATTGTTTTGGTTCACAGAGCACTTAGAGATACAAAAAAGTGTGAGAGAAAATATGGTGAAGATTGGAATAGATACTTAGAAGCTTGTCCTTACTTGTTTATTCCTTACGTCTGGTAAGCATTAAGCCCAGAGACAAATATCTAGACTTGAAAAAATACCTTTTTAGTTTTATACTTTTTATACTTAGTCCTACCTAAAAAAATTCTACAATGACAAAATGAACATCAAATATATCTATTCGTAACAAAATTTAATTAAGCATTTAAGTAATACTACATGGTTAATGAATTAAAATGAAGATTAATCTTGTTCTGCAATAGTGATTAACCTTTCATCTATTTCTTCTGGATTTAAAATGCGGAAACCTTCTTCAGTAGCTACTCCAATTTCAATGTCATTTTTTCTAAAATCCGTACCTAATACTGAACTCAAAGCAGTAATAGCAAATTCAACAGTATCTTTCCAGTCACCCTTTACATGCTCTATCTTCTTGAATTTCTTTTCTAAATAAGTTGTTGCTTCTTGTTGCTTTGGTCCAGTGGCAACAGCCTTAACACCAGTATAATAACCGGCAGGATCACACTTGAAGATTTGTGGCCCCCTATTTTCATCTTCAAAATCAACTTGGCAGAATGTTAATGCAACACCTAATGGTCTCATATAAGCTCTTTGAGTGTATAATTGGGATAAGTTTGCCATTCTTTTGGCCAAACTTTCGACTGGCATCTCATACCCGTATTTGTAACGAAATTCTGCCGCTTCTGAACGAGCTCTCAATGCTTGTGCTCTAGCATCTGCAATTGAACCAGTTGCAACTAATCCAATCGATGGAGTGATCTTGAAAATATAGGACACGGTTTCTGGATCCAATAACTTATCTGGAATCTTTTTTTGCGAGATAAGAACCGCAGAATCCTTACCTGTTACCCCAATAGAGGTGATATTAGATGAATTGATAGCCTTGAAAGCATATTCTACTTGATATAATCTCCCTTCCGGTGAAAAGATTGTAATATGTCTATCAAAACCTGCAGAACCTATTATGACAGTTAGTAACTCGCTTCTTTGAAAATTTAATAAAAAATAAAGGGATTCACTTACCTGACATATTGAATATTCTTAGTATATATATTTATCAGTGAAGTTTCTAATAAAATCGAAGTTCAATTTTGATTTATACATATAATTTGATATCAAAATCGTCTTCAGTGGCAATATAGACAAAATAGATGTCGCATTCTTGACGACATAATTATTACTGAATGTCGCGTTATAATTAAAGGTTTTTCTAAGAAGTAGCTTATACTTTAAATTGTGTTATAGTAAGTTATTAGAATACTAAACGTGATTGTTGTATAGTCAGAATGTCTATACCTGCAAATCATAGTCCAACATTCACGAAAGATAAGAAGACAGAGGAAAATACCCCATTATATTTGGCAAATTCAACGTCCAAGCTTCCCAATGTTTCATATCACTATAATCCACAAGTAAGTCAATATCATTTTGGACCTCATCATCCGATGAAGCCATTCCGGTTAATGCTCACGGACCATCTAGTTATATCTTATAAATTATACGAACAGATGGATCTCTACACTCCCCGCCGGGCTACGAAAGAAGAGTTATTGGAGTTTCATGCAGAGGATTATATAGATTTTTTGCAGACTATAACACCTGAAAAGACATTGAAGATGAGTGATCAAAAACTAGCACAATTTAATATAGGGGACGATTGTCCAGTATTTGATGGGATATACGACTATTCATCTATTTACGCTGGAGCATCCTTAGATGCACTGAGAAAATTGATCAGCGGAATGTCAGACATAGCAATAAATTGGTCTGGCGGATTACATCATGCTAAGAAATTTGAGCCAAGTGGATTTTGCTATGTGAATGATATTGTTTTGAGTATTATTAATTTATTGCGAGTCCACCCAAGAGTAATGTACATTGATATTGACTTGCATCACGGTGACGGGGTTCAAGAAGCATTCTATTTAACTGACAGAGTAATGACAGTTTCATTCCATAAATATAATGGTGAATTTTTCCCGGGTACTGGTTCTGTTGATGAAACAGGACTTGGAAAAGGGAAGAATTATGCAGTAAATGTTCCTTTAAAGGATGGAATAGATGATGATTCATATATAAGACTATTCAAGCTGATCATGGAACCTTTAATAACGAAATTTCAACCAACATGTATAGTACAACAGTGTGGGGCAGATTCTTTAGGATATGATAGATTGGGATGTTTCAATTTGAACATAAGGGCCCACGGCGAATGTGTTAAGTACATAAAGTCGTTTGGGATCCCAATGCTTGTTCTAGGTGGTGGTGGATACACTCCTAGAAACGTTTCAAGGTTATGGTGCTATGAGACATCTGTTTTAAATGATGTGACCTTAGATCACACTATTCCAAATTATTTGCCAACCCATGACTGGTTCGGACCAGATTACTCGTTACACCCTCAACTTGATGGTAGGATAGATAATAAAAACTCTAAGAAATACTTGGAAAGTGTGAAGCAAGAAGTGTTGGAGCAATTAAGATACCTAACATATGCACCATCAGTCCAAATGCAAGAAATTCCCCCTGACATTACGGGGCTTACAGAAGATGAAGAAGACATAATAAAGGAATTGAATTCCATGAACGATGATAAGGATGCAAGAAGCATGAATAATATAAAGGATGAAGCCAGAAGTGGCGAAATGGTTAACTAATTAATGAAAATAACCCTGTATAATAGTCTAGTTTAATTAGATCTCTGTAATATTAGCCAAATATTAGTAATATAAGGTAATCGATTTTAAAAAACCGTTTAACTAATCAACGGAAAAAATCAAATTCTGCGCCCTTTAGATAATGTGAATCGCTAAAAATACACCCTTTCAGCCTACTTAACATATAAATTAGATTATAAGATCTTTACAACAACATTTTTACATATAGAACATATAGAAGTCGATCTAATATATCGAAAGTTTAATTGACTAAATATTCGATGAATACGCTTAATAAATCATAAATAAAGTCCTGTGAAATATAAAAAATCGACCCTGGATTTCAATGGATATATCAACGCTATCTATAGAAAATGATCCTAAATCCAATAGGAAGGTAATTAATAAAACATACCGCATAATAAAAAAGATAGGACAAGGTCAGTTTGGTAAGGTTTTACTAGCAGAGAATATAGGAAAGCAGAATGTTCAAAAATCATGCACAACCGTTGCTATAAAAACTATAAACCGACTTGATAAGACGAGATTGATCACCAAAACATACCTTAATCATACAACCAAAATAAAGAGAGAAATACAGATTATGAAAGAATGCAATCATCCCAATGTCGTGAAATTATATCAAGTAATAGACGATCTTAAGTATGACAAGATTCTTTTGGTGTTAGAATATTGCCCGTTTGGAGAAATAGATTGGAAAAAATACAACCACTACAATGAAAAGTACAATAAAAAAGACGGAATTACAATAAATAAAATACTAAGAGATGTTGTTAATGGATTAGAATACCTTCATGATTATAAAAAAATTATCCATAGAGATTTGAAACCATCGAATTTGCTTATCAGTGCCGACAAGACAATTAAGATATCTGATTTTGGAGTGAGTTTAATTTTAGAAAATAATGCCAATGACGACAAAGAATTAGGTAAAAGTATGGGAACACCAGCATTCTTTGCCCCTGAATTATGCCAGTTCGTGAATAATAGATTATCGATGATTAATGATAATTTCAAAGCAAAGAATAAGATAGATTCCAGAATTGATTTATGGTCCCTAGGGGTAATGTTGTACTGTTTAATATTCAATGATTTACCATTTAATGGATTTAATGAGTTCGGGTTGTTCAAGAATATTGTTAATAAAGATTTGAAATTTCCTCGAATCAAGAGCACAACACACACTACTAAGGATGATTTGAAGGAACTAAAATTGTTGAAGGATTTGATAGAGAAACTATTAACTAAGGATCCCACAAAGCGAATTACCCTAGAGAAAGTAAAACATCATGGCTTTACGTTATTTGATATAACTCCCGATGAGCAAGACAAATTCCAAGATTTTAATCGTCAAATAATACGACAGGATGGAAGTCTAACAACAAAGATAAAGAGACTCTTCATAAACAAACCGGAGTCACCTGTATCACCTAAACTTCCAATTGTTGAAAATGAACCAAACCCTAGTTCCCTTGAGCCAGTGGACGATTTGCTTGATTCATATTTTGATGATTCATCATCATTAGGGTCGTATGAAGAAACAGCTGAGGTTGACACAAACAATTTACTAGAGTCATTGGACACAAAGGAAAGTACTCCATCAGCAGAAAATAAACCAAACAATATATTAAACTTAGAATTTTTATCAAAAGATAATAATAGTCATAAGCGTACTAATAAGAACGTTCCAACACCGTTAGAACTAAGTCAACCCCCTCCACACCCATACACTTCGAGATCGGCTTCATCATCTTCAAGTCATTTTCAGTCACCCTTATCTCCAAGCTCACCCAATGCCAATGCAGTCACTATTGGTGCCGATTCTCCCTCATCTATTAAGTCTATGTTCAGTCCTTCTAAGAGGTTCTTTGCAAGAAACAAGAACAAGGAATCGACCAGTCCTAACAAGAAAACTCATACAATAAGCTCATTATCGAACAGCTCGTCACTAAAATCAAAAAACAATGATAAGAAATCTACGGTCTACAATGATCTTATGGAACCACCACCTATTTTTGGAGCCACAAGCTCAACTTTGAGTGTAAATCATCCCCCCTCATCAACGTGCTCTCGTAAGAATTCTATATCATCCGTGAAGTCGAGTGGTCTAAGCAGAATTACAAGCTCCAGCTCTTCATTGAATTTAAATGCATATTTGACGGACGATACCTATTCTTTATCGTCCATGAAAGACCCTGCCATTACTGAGAAATTCAGGACTAATACTTCTAATAATAGTCATCAAGGCGTAACCGATGATGATCCTGATGAAGATGTGGATGAGACGTTTATCCTCCCGGATCACGAGCAATCTGATATGAAACAATATTCAAGCATGTCTGACTTCCTAGATAGAATATAACAATGTACATAGCAACAAGATACATGGCTTTATTTAGATGACCATTAGTATAAATTATTATGCACCAGCCTCATTAGAATGCACTATTATTTTTAAAATCACATATTTCTTGTGTGTCTACGTATAAGCGATCATGTAAAAGAACTACCAGTTCGTTTTTGGAAACATTTCCTGATTAAACTGAAAAATCAGGACTAAAGCCGAATGTATTTGATGATGGAATTGTTTGAAATTTTCCTAAAAGAAAACGTTTGTAAACAAAAACGAACACAGAACGCGAAATTATTTTAATTGCTATGGTAAAAGAAGGGGATTCGAAGCTCTTTAGGCAAGGCATTGCATCAAACGGAATTAATAAATGCATGTTTGTTCATTGTGAAGTGTGTGATAGTTTCATATGAATCTTGAATAGTAGGCAAAGATATTGTCACAGTTAGATCTTACCAAGAATTACACGTACTTAACGGCAAAGGAATTCAGGTGCTTGTTTGCAGAGCAGATCAATCTTTCTACGCCATTGTCAAGTACTGAGCGTGGCGCAAATTTGCATTGTAGCATCCTGATTCAGTTGCCGAAATATAGTGAGATACATATTCGTTGCACTTTTGGTTTACAAAGGTGGGTTACGCATACTGATCATTGTTTGATCAATAATTGACTTAAATTGTTTTGTAGAGAAATTGAATCGAAATATATATTCTATTGATCTCCTTGAATCACCATGAAAGACAGGGGTGATGGCATGATAAGTGACAATATAGCTGGCTTGAATCATTACAGGAATAGGAAAAAAGAATTTATGGATTCCAGAAACACAACGACGAAAAGGGATCGACCACTAAGTAGTTATTTTGATTCACCATCAAATACAAAGCCTATTGAGGCTACAGACTATTTCAGCTTGAAGGACGACGGCATTAATCAACTTCAAATTAACGATGAGCATGAAAACGAAACAGAAGACAATCATGAATTCACGTCTCCACTAGTCAATAGGAAACCATTCAGAAATTTGAGTAATTTTGTTAATAACCTTGAATTCACTAGTATGAGGAAGAAATTTTCTTCGTCAAAGAAAAGTTTAACTAGATCGATGACGCTGGTAGCCAAATATTCTAATATAGGACTTGAAAAAAATATATCTCGAGAAGATGAAGCAGAGAAGAAATTCCAAAATGAATTGGTTGATGATCCAAATAATGATCTGAATATCATTTGTGGATCACCTACACAGCTGATTTCTAGAAATAAGAGCATTCGTAGGATTCATTCGATGTGTCAGACCTCTAAAGAGAAAGAGACTTACAACATGGAAGACAATTCCCATTTATCCAAAACTTCGATTAACACCTTCAAGGTTGATAACGACTTATTACCTAGAATTAACGAGGATGAACTATTCAGAATTTTAAATGGAGATTACAAGGGGGAATTTGATGAATATATAATTATCGATTGCAGATTCAATTATGAATATGATGGGGGCCATATTAGAAATGCAATTAACATTACCTCTCAACAAGGTTTGGAAGAGAAATTGATAAATAATGTTGACAATTCTACTTCAAAAAGACAACTATACATTTTTCACTGTGAGTTCAGCATTTTTAGGAGTCCAACGATGGCATCTCACCTTAGAAAATGTGATAGAATCTTGAATAGCAATAATTACCCAAAATTAACTTACCCTGACATAGTAGTACTTGAGGGTGGTTACAAAGGATTTTACGACAAGTACAAGTCCTACTGTTATCCTCAAGCTTATGTTGAAATGAAAGATGTCAATTATCAAAAAACTTGCGAACTTGAAATGGGAAAGGTTAGACAAGCTAAAAAGTTACCTAGGGCCAAATCTTATAATCATTTCTTGGGAAATGGCTCTCTTTCAAATACTCATAACAGATCGAATTCTTTTACGACGATAACTTCCCATGCTGAAAATTTAAAAATTTTGAAGAGACAGAGGTCTACTTCAAAATTTAATTTAAGCAATAATGATAGTGATAATGAAACATTCATATATGGCACGCATAACATACCAGATAATAGGTTGACGAGGGCTTCAACATTTACATATACTCCATCCATATTCAATTCATCTCCAGCGAACAGCCCTAATATTTTGAGCAGCCTTGGAATGGATAATGAATTCCAGCCTCCACCTCCTTTATTTAAGCTGAGTGGTCATCATAAATCGTTCTCAAACTCATCAAACTTTTCAACTTCATCAATCTCAATTAACTCATCGTCATCATCAATATGTTCTGATTTGGCATTTTCATCCACTGATTCGTTAACAGATTCGTATTCTTCTCCAGTTGGTGAAATGCCAGAATTCTTCGAGCCAAAGGGACATAATTTAACAAGCTACTTGAAAATGAATGCAAATAATAGTTCCTATAATCACTTGAATGGGAACAAACCATCCTTAATCAATTCGGTCTCAAGAAAACCTTCTGGACCAATTCCTCAATTACCAACACAACAAAGAAATACGATGTCAAGTTCTAGTAGCAATGCATCTACTGCATCCAATAAGACTATTGTATATCAGAATTCGAAGAATTTACCTAATTCATCCTTCAAATTTCCTCTTTCTTCGAATTCTAAAAATAAGGCATCTCGTAATTTGTCCCGAATCAATACTAATACAAAGCATTCAAGCAATTCATCTTTATCTAATATTAATGTTGTACCAACTGCAACTTCATCACCTATAATGAATTCTCCATTATCAATAGTGACTCCAATTTCCACTATAGATTCATCTAAAAGCAATCTATCTATTATTGATCCAATCAATGACACTCCTGTTGACTTTTCTGTACCAAGCTCGGCTAAAATACCTTTCCATCCTAGAAGAAGATCTGGCTCAATTTTGTCATCAGGTGGAGGAATACACAAATTTTTAGACTTAGATATTGATGAAGTGGAAGAAGAGGAGGAAGATATTATTGAGGATAATGATAGAACGCTCACTGATATCAAGTTAAAGAATAAAATATCAGATTTCATTCAAAAAAGCCCATTTAATTAGCACTTGCATTTATTATTATTTATACAAGGGTTAACTGCATTTCTTAGTATACTCTAATTAGTTTAAATAAATAATATATCATGAAACATATATTTCGTTTTATTCAAGACTTATAAACGGTAGATAAATAAATAGAGCAGCACAAGGCAAGTTTAAATCTTAGCCTTGTCAGTAACCAACTTAATAGCAGCATTGTTCATTGCAATGGTCTTTCTTTCGACAACGTGAACTTGGAAGATAACAGTATCACCTTGCTTCCAAGCAAGAACCTTAAGAGTTTCACCTGGGAAAACAATACCAGTAAATCTACCCTTAATTTCATTGAATGGACCAAACTTATCTAACAAGGCCTTAGCAGAAACACCTAAAGTACACATACCATGTAAGATTGGTCTATCAAAGTTAGCACCCTTTGCAAATTCTGGATCAAGATGTAATGGATTCCTGTCACCACTTAATCTGTATAATGCTGCTTGATGTTCACTGGTCTTAACTTCAATACTAAAGTCTGGAGAAGATTTTGGAGCATTGAATTGATTAACAGCAAATGATCTTCTATCACCATAGACCTTAGTTTCACCTTTACACTTTCTAATGAAGTAAGTTGCTTCATTTGTGAAAAGAGTTTCTCCGGTATTTACATCAACTGAAACCAGCTCTTGAACGACAATAGCATTAGAACCCTTTTGGGTAACAGATAATGGCTTGAATTCAGTTTTCAAAGTAGCCTCAGTTGGGACTGGGAACTTATCAAGCTTAAGATAATGTTCACCATGTAACAAAAACATTGGATTGAAACCCTCTAATAACTTGGCATAAGAGTGTGCGCCTCTACCTGACAAGAAAGTAACAATATGCCCATATGTTGGAACAACTTGGAAATCAGAGTCATTTTCATAAACGTATTTCAATTCATGAGAGTTAGCGCCAACACCAAGATTGTATAAAATGACGTCTCTATCATTGTAAGAGTGGACACTATCATTTGGATCTTCATCTTCATCTTCATCATCATCATCATCATCATCATCTTCGTCTTCATCGTCATCACCAACAGCACTAAGGATGGCCATAGATGAATCCTGGGTTGTCCTTGGGTTGAAAGTACCGGTTGAGAAATCGACAACATCTTTAATGTGGTCTCTAACGAATTCAGGGGTAGTGTTTTCGTCCTTTGAGACAGCACCCTTAGCTCTCTGCCATCTGGTGTTACCAATCCAGCCACCACCGACTTCGAATAATTCACCAGTTACAGGAACATCATCAGAAGCTAAGTAGACTAATAATGGAGCAACCTGATCTGGGTGGTACAAGTTTTTGTCATCCTCATTGAAGATAGTTAAAGTCATAGCAGTTTCGGCATGTGGAGCAACAACATTGACCTTAATATTGCTCTTGGCACCTTCAATGGCAAGGGTTCTAGAAAGACCAATAATGGCAGCCTTAGCAGAAGCGTAGTTAGCTTGACCGAAGTTACCGTAGATACCAGATGTTGAAGTAATATTCACAATTCTACCAGCCTTCTTCTCCAAAAAGTGTGGCCATGCTAATCTGGCCAAGTTGAAGGTACCGAATAAGTGAACCTTCTGGACAATTTCCCAGTCAGCATCGCTCATCTTGGCGAAAGATTTGTCTCTTAAAACACCAGCGTTATTGACTAAAACATCAATGGTACCATACTTGTTAATTACATTATCAATAATTGCTTGCGAGTCTGAAGCAACATCATGTTTATCACCGTGGGCTTCACCACCATTCTTGATAATTTCGTCTACAACTTTAGATGGATCCTTGAAATCGTTTACAACGACCTTGGCACCATATTTAGCGAACCATAAGGCATAGTCTCTACCTAAACCAGCACCAGCACCGGTAATTAAGACAACTTTACCCTTCAAGGATACCTTTGGAGCGCCAGATAAGTCATTAGGTGGCAATTCTTTTGCAGCAGTAATCAATGACTTGTAGTCATTCAACATAAATGGATGTTGGTTCTTTAATAATTCTGGTTTCTTTGAATCATCGAAATTCACGATTTCTTCGAATCTTTTGGCAACAGCTTCAGCAGTGAATGTTTCATCTGGCTTGAAGAGGATACCACCAGATCTTTCCCATCTGATTTGGCCGTAAAATCCAGCAGCCACTTCAAAGATTTGACCACTCAATTCGTTATCATCACTGGTCAAGTATAACACTAATGGAGCAACCTTGGCAGGTGATAATTGTTCCAAAATTGGTGGTGGTAAGATCGATTCGGTCATTCTCGATCTAGCAAGTGGTGCAATGGTATTAGCCTTAATGTTGTATTTTTCACCTTCCTTAGCTAAAGTTTCAGCAAAAGAGGCCAATCCTAACTTAGCAGCAGAGTAATTGGTTTGACCAAAGTTACCATACAAACCAGCTGGAGAAGCAGTGTTGAGAACTCTACCGTACTGTTGTTTTCTGAAGTATGGCCATGCAGCATGGGTAACCTTGTAGGCACCATTAAGATGCACGTCAACTACCAACTTGAAATCCTTTTCTTGCATCTTCTTGAAAGAGGCATCTCTCAAGATACCAGCATTGTTAACAATGATATGCACAGTACCGAAGTTCTTGACGGCGGTTTCAACGATCTTGGCCCCGTCTAACACGTTATTGTAATCAGCGACAGCAATTCCACCGGCCTTTTTGATTTCATCAACAACATCGTCGGCGGCGCTTGAGTTGCCACCATCTCCTTTAAGGGATCCACCTAAATCGTTGACAACAACCTTGGCGCCTCTCTTTGCGTATTCCAAACAGTAGTGCTTACCGAGACCACCACCGGCTCCGGTAACGACAACCACCTTATCTTTAAATGATATTTCTGACATTTTCTTGATTTAACTTATAATAAAAAGAATTGTTAACCTACGTGCCGTTCAATTCAATTCTTACTATAGCGCTATTAAATTGCTAGCCTAGAATTTCTAAAGCAATTTGTCTTTTTTTATATATAAAGCGTTTGCGGGGTTGAGCTCGGCCTGTGAAGAGATCGAGTTGACATCGGTTGAGAATTTTAACTGAGGTCTCTTTCCCCGGACTTATCCCTTGTATAACCGAGGAACTGGTTACTCACCACCAACTAAAGTGTGGCCGTTTAGGCAATTCTATATGGTTTATAAGAAGACGAAGAATCTACGCTATTTAGATATTCATGGCGAATCAAGATGTATACGTTGGGAAAGAGAAGATTATGTAGTGGTGAATAGATTGTATCAGGGCAAATTGGACCTATTTCCAAATTCTCATATTCAACTGTGGTATGCAGTGGTGGAGCTCAGGAAACGGGTAAATTGTGCGGTGTATGCTTCCATAGATAGTGGAGGTGTGGTCGTAGAGAAGGATGGAAGAAACTACCGAGGTTGTGACGGTAGAGATAACCGCGGACTAAGGGTTCGAGCAACATGCTAGTGGGGAGTGGTGAACGGATGTAATGTAGGATGTGAAATGAAAAAAAAAGATCCGGGCTCGAACCCTGGGACTTAGTCTTGGTTCGAACCTAGGATATGCCTACATTAACCTAATCCAAAAGAGGGGAAGGATCGCGAGTGTGGAATGAGCCAGCTCCAGTTGCATACCTCTTTTGGGATATCGACCCGGGCGAAAATGGCAGAATTGAAGTTTATTTTTCAATATGCCCTGTGTGGGATAGGCTTTTTTTGATTTCTAAGACGGAGCTTAATTGGTTGTGAAGACGAAACTGGTTCTACAGCAATGACCAACTCATACGCAGGTAGCCAAGACGCCGGCGAAGCATTGTTGCAGAGCAATGGACTGGCAAATATTAAAGATAAAGTTGACGTAAATGAAGGCGGAAATAAGGCATCCCGGGGAAGAAAAGGAAGCTCTAGTGGGGATAGCTATACTAGAAATAAAGAAATGGACGAATTTGAACACAGACAGAGACAATGGTACAGGTTGGTAATCTTTGACTTGGTATTATGGATGTTTTCGGTGGTATGTGATTGTTTTTTCAGGGAAATACGTCCCAGAGGAGCGTTCAGGCTTCCTCGTCTGGGACCGGTTATTTTCGTGGCTGCTCCACATGCCAACCAGTTTGTAGATCCAATCATCTTGATGGGACAGGTGAGAAAAGAGGCCCAAAGGAGAGTGTCGTTTTTGATCGCTGCTAAGTCGTACAAGCAACGGATTATTGGGTTTTTGTCTCGGTGCCAATTTTCAATTCCGGTAGTACGAGCACAAGATAACTTGAAAAAAGGTAGTGGGAAGATTTTCATTAATGTGGAACTGGATCCGTGCCGTGTGACAGGGAAGAATACCAAATTTTTGCTGGAATGTACAGTCCGGGGTATGTTGGCTTTGCCTCAGTCATTGGGTGCTTCTGAAATTCTGGAAATTATCTCAGACACTGAGATAATTATTAGAAAAGAATTTAAGCGTACCGAGCAGATCACCACTTTACTCAAAAATGGTACATCTTTCAAACGGGCAGATAGAATCGATCAGAAAAAAGTGTATCAGATCGTGTTTAGACATTTATCTTTAGGCAACTGTATTGGTATTTTCCCAGAAGGTGGTTCTCATGATAGAACAGATTTATTACCACTTAAGGCTGGGGTTGCAATCATGGCTTTAGGTGCTATGGAATACAACCCAGATTGTAATGTCAAAATTGTTCCTTGTGGTATGAACTATTTTAATGCTCACAAATTCAGATCAAGAGCTGTTGTCGAATTCGGCCATCCTATTGAAATCCCTAAGGAACTCGTTAAGAAGTATCTGAATCCTGAAACAAATCGTGAATCAGTTAAGGAATTGTTGGATCTTATCACCACTGGGTTGAAGGCAGTTACCGTGACGTGTGAAGATTATGAGACTCTCATGGTTGTTCAAGCTGCTAGAAGATTATATGCTGGTAATTTTGTTCAATTTTTGCCATTACCATTGGTTGTTGAAATGAACAGAAGATTAGTTTTAGGCTACCAGACATTTAAAAACGATGAGCAAATCAAAAGTTTGAAGGAAAAAATTATCATTTACAACAATAAGTTGAAACAGTTGTATTTACCAGATCATCATGTCGAAGCTTGTGATGAATCTCATAAATTGAGAGTTTTACCAATTTTACTCTTCAGAATCGTCAAATTATTTTTATTAATGTTATTAGCCTTACCTGGAGCAACATTGTTTTCTCCCGTATTCATATGTACTAAGTGGTATTCTAAGAGGAAGGCAAAGGTAGCATTAGCTAACTCGACTGTGAAAATCAAGGCTAACGATGTAGTTGCTACTTGGAAAATCTTGATAAGTATGGGTATTGCTCCTTTAGTTTACAGTTTTTATGCATCAATTGGTACATGGTATTGCAATAAATATAAAACCTTTGAAGACTGGAATGTCAGTTCAGTTTTTATTTGGTTTACATTATACATGCTTGGAGTAACCGTTACTTATTCAGCATTGCTTACTGGTGAACAAGGCATGGATATTTTTAAATCTATTCGTCCCTTATACTTATCGATCACATCGGGATCTTCTATTAAAGATTTAAAGAAGTTAAGAAACGAATTGTCTGAGGAGATTACGTATGTGGTTAATCACTTCGGTCCTGAATTGTTTCCAAATGATTTTAACTTATTGAAGTTAAAGGATCATTTGAAGATTTCTGATAATGTGGAATACGTTGATAGTGACGAAGAAGAAGAAAGAAAGACCCAGGAAGTGAGAAAGAGGAGAATGAAAAACCGTAAAGCTGCTAGAAGAAAGCATACTCAGGATGAAAACACCGATTCAATTAGTGGATTATCATTAGACGAGAAACATTCGTCTTCGGTCTCTGACGGAATTTCTTTAATGAATTCTGATAATTCATTAACTAATATTCCAATGTTTTCTGATTACCATTTGCACATGAATGCAAAGAACCCAGATATAAAGCTTGAACAACAGTCTGTTATTCATCTGTCTGCGTCAATAGCCGACGATTTCAACTACAAAGTCCACAATTCACCTGCCGGTAAGCCAAGTGTTTCAAGAAAGGATTCAAATTCGCAAATTGAATTGAATTTCGGTAATCTCAAAGGCCAACAATCGAAATCACGGTTGAGTGACAAAATCAAATATAAGATTAGGGAAAGTAGAGATAAAGCATCAGATAACTGAGTACACTGATACGCGGTCGATTCGTTACTGCATTAATTTGATTTCAATTTCTAATTTAATTAACTTTATATGTACATGAGTTATATAT